CCTTTCTTTTTTCGTTTTGCCTTATATGATAAAAATTATAATAGATAGATAGACACTTTAAATCACAAATATTATCAGCAAGGCAAGATCTACTAACAAGTCAAATTTTGCCGATATAGTTAGTAGACTGTCACTCTATATAGGAGTGATTGCCCTTAAATGAGGATTTTTTTTTACCTATTTGTGTTTTGAGCAAAAACTAAAGAAGATCTAAACAGACTAAATGATCAGCAATACAAAATCAACAAAACAGAGATTATTGTCATGAATTCTATTCTCGTCTACAATGTTTGAGAGTGTCCTTTGTTGAATATGCACATAGATCAAGGTGAGCGACACAGACTCTTTAGAGCCTCTAGTTTAAAGTTATTGATGATTATTGATAGGGCTGTCATGCATCTACCTTACCTTTATTTTCTTTTTGTTGCTCTTGTATCCTATCAAATGTATTAATCACATAAACCTGATACTAAGACCAACAAATCATTTTGTTATGGAAAATTATTTACGTTATGAAAATTCGTAGTACGTACAATACAATGTAAATTCGTAATACATGCAGTACAACTCAACTTTGTAGTTCATAAAATACAGTCAGTAAGATGCATGAATGTCCTTTCATTGGAGGTTTTTAGTTTGAAGTACAATAGTGCACCGATTGGTTAGATAACTGATGGAGTTGAAGATTTTTTGTACGAATAGTTCTAGTTTTTCCTACTTTTTTTTATTTTGAAGATGCATTACTTTCTTTATGTAAGCAATAGACTATTTTCATATAACTGACTTTTGACTCCGGATTATATAATTTTTCGACAGGTTACCTAATCGGTGGTAGGACATCCTGGGGTACTTGGTCAAGTAAGAGCAACCAAAAGAAGTACAAGAGTGCAAATGCTGAAATGTCTCGCCTGTTTAACTGACCATTGATTTTATGTTTAAAGTCTGAGATAAAGGTTTTACTACAAGTATCACATAAACTTAACATTTTTAAAGATCCATGACAATGAAGTCAATGTCAGATAAAAACTGTCACACAGACATGTACACCTTACAATCATTCCATACACCAATTATAGTTGACCAATTTGATCTTTCGAAGTAAATAGACGCAGATATATAAACCATGAGACGACTGGATGCAAAGCAATACTAATTAAATGCTAAGAAATGATTAAAGCGAATTAAATTAAAACATTTAATTTTGGCAAATTATTACAATTTCATATGAAAAAACAATAATAGACGTTAAAGTTAATTCAATCAATGTTCAGCACCATTTATCAACAACACTTTGCTCACACGTCTATATCCAGCGGGTAACAATAAATCTGAAACGTCTGAATCCATTGCGAATTAATCCGAATCCAATTTATCGGTTATTAACTATGTTGCTCGATCGTCCTTTAATCACTCAATTACATTGTAAATTCGTCTATTCACAGTAACAAATCAGCAAGGAACAAACGCTGAAAAATAAAACTTCCACAGAAAATGAGAATAAAACTACTGATCATAAATATTGGGTGGGAGCAATAATGGGAGGGTAAGTTTTCGGCTATCAACGGCAGAATGAAAAACTTTAAATTCCTTTAAATCGCAAGTCTATAAAGGAACCAATCAAAATTCATTGTTTATTATAAAATTCATAACAAGTTGTATCATTAGCTAAATGTAAAGAACCGAAATTTCTACAAATAAATCTAATGGTCGAAATCGACAGTCGACTCCTTATTAGAGTTATTCCCATTTGATGACGATTTTTACCATTTTTTGCGTTTTTGCCTTTTATCTTAAAAATTATAATAGACAGATAGAAACTAGAATGAGCAAAAATAGTCAACAAGACAAGATCGAGGTTATCGTCCGACGTTTTCTTATTGGAGTTATTGCCCTTTAATGACGATTTTAACCTTTCTTTTTTCGTTTTGCCTTATATGATAAAAATTATAATAGATAGATAGACACTTTAAATCACAAATATTATCAGCAAGGCAAGATCTACTAACAAGTCAAATTTTGCCGATATAGTTAGTAGACTGTCACTCTTTATAGGAGTGATTGCCCTTAAATGAGGATTTTTTTTTTACCTATTTGTGTTTTGAGCAAAAACTAAAGAAGATCTAAACAGACTAAATGATCAGCAATACAAAATCAACAAAACAGAGATTATTGTCATGAATTCTATTCTCGTCTACAATGTTTGAGAGTGTCCTTTGTTGAATATGCACATAGATCAAGGTGAGCGACACAGACTCTTTAGAGCCTCTAGTTTAAAGTTATTGATGATTATTGATAGGGCTGTCATGCATCTATCTTACATTTATTTTCCTTTTGTTGCTCTTGTATCCTATCAAATGTATTAATCACATAAACCTGATACTAAGACCAACAAATCATTTTGTTATGGAAAATTACTTACGTTATGAAAATTCGTAGTACGTACAATACAATGTAAATTCGTAATACATGCAGTACAACTCAACTTTGTAGTTCATAAAATACAGTCAGTAAGATGCATGAATGTCCTTTCATTGGAGGTGTTTAGTTTGAAGTACAATAGTGCACCGATTGGTTAGATAACTGATGGAGTTGAAGATTTTTTGTACGAATAGTTCTAGTTTTTCCTACTTTTTTTTATTTTGAAGATGCATTACTTTCTTTATGTAAGCAATAGACTATTTTCATATAACTGACTTTTGACTCCGGATTATATAATTTTTCGACAGGTTACCTAATCGGTGGTAGGACATCCTGGGGTACTTGGTCAAGTAAGAGCAACCAAAAGAAGTACAAGAGTGCAAATGCTGAAATGTCTCGCCTGTTTAACTGACCATTGATTTTATGTTTAAAGTCTGAGATAAAGGTTTTACTACAAGTATCACATAAACTTAACATTTTTAAAGATCCATGACAATGAAGTCAATGTCAGATAAAAACTGTCACACAGACATGTACACCTTACAATCATTCCATACACCAATTATAGTTGACCAATTTGATCTTTCGAAGTAAATAGACGCAGATATATAAACCATGAGACGACTGGATGCAAAGCAATACTAATTAAATGCTAAGAAATGATTAAAGCGAATTAAATTAAAACATTTAATTTTGGCAAATTATTACAATTTCATATGAAAAAACAATAATAGACGTTAAAGTTAATTCAATCAATGTTCAGCACCATTTATCAACAACACTTTGCTCACACGTCTATATCCAGCGGGTAACAATAAATCTGAAACGTCTGAATCCATTGCGAATTAATCCGAATCCAATTTATCAGTTATTAACTATGTTGCTCGATCGTCCTTTAATCACTCAATTACATTGTAAATTCGTCTATTCACAGTAACAAATCAGCAAGGAACAAACGCTGAAAAATAAAACTTCCACAGAAAATGAGAATAAAACTACTGATCATAAATATTGGGTGGGAGCAATAATGGGAGGGTAAGTTTTCGGCTATCAACGGCAGAATGAAAAACTTTAAATTCCTTTAAATCGCAAGTCTATAAAGGAACCAATCAAAATTCATTGTTTATTATAAAATTCATAACAAGTTGTATCATTAGCTAAATGTAAAGAACCGAAATTTCTACAAATAAATCTAATGGTCGAAATCGACAGTCGACTCCTTATTAGAGTTATTCCCATTTGATGACGATTTTTACCATTTTTTGCGTTTTTGCCTTTTATCTTAAAAATTATAATAGACAGATAGAAACTAGAATGAGCAAAAATAGTCAACAAGACAAGATCGAGGTAATCGTCCGACGTTTTCTTATTGGAGTTATTGCCCTTTAATGACGATTTTAACCTTTCTTTTTTCGTTTTGCCTTATATGATAAAAATTATAATAGATAGATAGACACTTTAAATCACAAATATTATCAGCAAGGCAAGATCTACTAACAAGTCAAATTTTGCCGATATAGTTAGTAGACTGTCACTCTTTATAGGAGTGATTGCCCTTAAATGAGGATTTTTTTTTTACCTATTTGTGTTTTGAGCAAAAACTAAAGAAGATCTAAACAGACTAAATGATCAGCAATACAAAATCAACAAAACAGAGATTATTGTCATGAATTCTATTCTCGTCTACAATGTTTGAGAGTGTCCTTTGTTGAATATGCACATAGATCAAGGTGAGCGACACAGACTCTTTAGAGCCTCTAGTTTAAAGTTATTGATGATTATTGATAGTGCTGTCATGCATCTATCTTACATTTATTTTCCTTTTGTTGCTCTTGTATCCTATCAAATGTATTAATCACATAAACCTGATACTAAGACCAACAAATCATTTTGTTATGGAAAATTACTTACGTTATGAAAATTCGTAGTACGTACAATACAATGTAAATTCGTAATACATGCAGTACAACTCAACTTTGTAGTTCATAAAATACAGTCAGTAAGATGCATGAATGTCCTTTCATTGGAGGTTTTTAGTTTGAAGTACAATAGTGCACCGATTGGTTAGATAACTGATGGAGTTGAAGATTTTTTGTACGAATAGTTCTAGTTTTTCCTACTTTTTTTTATTTTGAAGATGCATTACTTTCTTTATGTAAGCAATAGACTATTTTCATATAACTGACTTTTGACTCCGGATTATATAATTTTTCGACAGGTTACCTAATCGGTGGTAGGACATCCTGGGGTACTTGGTCAAGTAAGAGCAACCAAAAGAAGTACAAGAGTGCAAATGCTGAAATGTCTCGCCTGTTTAACTGACCATTGATTTTATGTTTAAAGTCTGAGATAAAGGTTTTACTACAAGTATCACATAAACTTAACATTTTTAAAGATCCATGACAATGAAGTCAATGTCAGATAAAAACTGTCACACAGACATGTACACCTTACAATCATTCCATACACCAATTATAGTTGACCAATTTGATCTTTCGAAGTAAATAGACGCAGATATATAAACCATGAGACGACTGGATGCAAGGAATACTAATTAAATGCTAAGAAATGATTAAAGCGAATTAAATTAAAACATTTAATTTTGGCAAATTATTACAATTTCATATGAAAAAACAATAATAGACGTTAAAGTTAATTCAATCAATGTTCAGCACCATTTATCAACAACACTTTGCTCACACGTCTATATCCAGCGGGTAACAATAAATCTGAAACGTCTGAATTCATTGCGAATTAATCCGAATCCAATTTATCAGTTATTAACTATGTTGCTCGATCGTCCTTTAATCACTCAATTACATTGTAAATTCGTCTATTCACAGTAACAAATCAGCAAGGAACAAACGCTGAAAAATAAAACTTCCACAGAAAATGAGAATAAAACTACTGATCATAAATATTGGGTGGGAGCAATAATGGGAGGGTAAGTTTTCGGCTATCAACGGTAGAATGAAAAACTTTTAATTCCTTTAAATCGCAAGTCTATAAAGGAACCAATCAAAATTCATTGTTTATTATAAAATTCATAACAAGTTGTATCATTAGCTAAATGTAAAGAACCGAAATAAATCGAACAGTATAAAGTCTATTTCTTTAATCTCTAGTCGCAAATTATATATTTTTAATTAATTAAAAATAGCACAATTTGCTCTTTCGAAGTAAATAGACGCAGATATATAAACCATGAGACGACTGGATGCAAAGCAATACTAATTAAATGCTAAGAAATAATTAAAGCGAATTAAATTAAAACATTTAGTTTTGGCAAATTATTACAATTTCATATGAAAAAACAATAATAGACGTTAAAGTTAATTCAATCAATGTTCAGCACCAAAAAACCAACGGCCAAACAGAGAACAAAGCACATTGATTGATAATAAACAAAATTTAAAAGCTATTTAAGTTACCGGGCTCATAAAGCCATGTTTCACCTTATACAAAGATCAGAATGAAAACAAAAATAATAATAATACCGACATGAATGGTCAGAAATCAAAAAATATCACTGACATGAATGGTCAGATATTTCTAACAAAAATATGATAATACCGACATGAATGGTCAGATATCAAAAAATACTACTGACATGAATGGTCAGATCTTTCTGACAAGAATGGTCAGAAAACAAAATAACCCATTAAGGATATATACAAATCACCCACTACTGTAAGCACAATTAAACAAAATTGGTACAGAATAAGATTGCTCCTTCTGTTTAACAGTAACAAGATGAGACTAAACATCCTCTTGTTTAACAATGAGCCAATACTTGAACAAAAAAATTAGTCAACTTTAAATTACCAAAATAATTCAAATGTAACTTACAGATGGGTGAATAAAGTTCACAAACTTGCATCCCAAACTTCAAAAAAGGTTTATAAGTAGCTACAAACTGAACACCACGTTTAAAGCATAAACTTCTTAATCTAGAATTAATAGTGGTGACAAAATAACATGTATTCTGAAAATCAAGTAAACGTGGAATAATTGCTGACATAACTATTACAGTATGTGGCTTAACTAATTTCTCAATTGTAGAGATAAGCACGTTATAGGCTATATCAAAATCAGCAACCTCATAGGTACCAACATTATTGGTTCCTACATGCACCAGAATTATATCATAATTTACCTGAATTGTTCCACAATTAAGCAAATTTATTATGTCCCAAATATTTGCTCCAGGAAAGGCTTGCAAGTGACACCTTCTAATAGTTTTAACATGCTTGGCTATGGAATCGCACACCAGAGTAGACCTAGAATCTATAAAAAGCAAATTTATTTTAAAATAAAGTTTTTAATTTGTTCCGCTACATTGATTTTATCAGACAAAGAACTGACAATATATTTAGTATAGCAATTGCTCTTCCAATCACCCATCAATTGGATAGAACTAGGAGAAACCCCTGCTTTCGAAGCCAACGTTGCTCCACCTCTACGGAAACTATGGGAAGAAAATAATTTTGGATTTAACCCAATTTTACAAAGTAATTCTCTCAGTTTATTCTGAAACTGGTTATAAGTAATTGGCATGCATTTCCCCTTTTTTGTACAAGAAAAAGCGGCACCATCCGAAGAGCAAGGATTTAAAGAACACATCATTTTATACGCATTTACAAAGCAAAATTTAGATAATGGATATGCAAGCAAAGGTATCCTTAAAATACGATTACCCAACTGAATTGTTTTTGTCCATTTGAATGCAACTATTATAAGTGACGGAAAGACTGTAACATCACCTCTGCATAGCTGTTTGTTTTTGTCAAATTTCTTGGTTGATACTGGAACTAAATTAGACTTCCTGCTTAAAAGTAATAAAGCAAAAAGAAATAAACACCAATATGTCGCATCAAGAGGAGTATTCAAATTCAAATGTTCACGAAATTTTCCTAGAATTTCTAAAGTAATAGGAAATGCCTGTTTAGGTAAATGTTTTAATTTCCTATCTAACCCTTTCATCGCCAATTTCAATTCGTAAGACGAAAACACATCCACATGTAATCCTAACAACAGGAAAAGAATTTTAATTCCATTTAAATAATTGCGAATAGATTGAGCTGATCTGAAACTTCTACTGAGAAACTCCGAATAAGTGCATAATAACTCAGCATTAATATCAAACGGTTCTAAATGAAAGTAATTACAAAACAATAAATAGGCTCTCCACAGCGTTTTAAAATTAACCAAAGTACCTTTCGCAAAAGCCGAAATCCTAGTCAAAAAACATATCTCCTCTTAGCACTTGCAAATCTACAAATACATGAATAAGCAATTACCAAATATGTTCAAACTGAAACAATTCTTTAGGAAAAAAATCTCTAGATAGAAACATGCCTTTTGTCCTCTCGTAAAATTCTAACTGAAATTTATAACCTAAATCCCATCTAGACAAAAGATCCGGTAAACGGTTATCGCAACCTGAAATATGTATAGCTTTTAACTCAAAATTATTTAAAGCTGCAATCCAACAAACTTCCCGCAAACACGACTGCAGGAACACATTTCTGGTAGCGCCTGTATTCAAAACACGAACTGAAACCAAATTATCGCAATAAATAACCACCTTTAAATTTGTAAAATGTTTACCCCATAGTTTTAAGGCTACTACAATCGTCAACATCTCGAATAAATTTATATGCAAATTTTGATCTAAAATGAACTCCGGAAATGAACAGTGAAAGTGGGTCCTACTACAAAGCGCCCGGGAGCGCCCGGGTGAAGTAAAAGCGCCCGGGGAAGAAAATTAAGCGCCCGAGGAAAAGAAAAGGCACCCGGGGAAAATATATAGATATTGTATTGGCATGAGACAACTTTGTGTCGATGAAATAAGTTATGTATATTGATTTTTTTTTTAAATTTTAGACAAGTAATTTGCAAATTCAGATAATAGACATTTGTAATAAAGCACAAAAACAAGTATGAATGTTTCAATTTTAACAAAATATTGAATAATATTTCGAAAGACAGATAATAATGGATTACAGTTAATGCTGAAGATTTATAAAATGTTAGACATCAAAAGACGTGTTTTTTTCAAAAACGATATCAAAATGAAAAATGCAAAAAACAACTTAAATTTCACAGATAAACATTAATTTTATAAAACAATTATACTATGCATGTTAAAAGCAGGTGTTTGGTATAAAACAAATAACATTGAAACACCGATAAGCATTACAAATCGCATGCCGAGTATCTTCCGTCCATCCATCCGCCACATCCTGTCAAACATGCATCAACAGAAAACAATTGATCAGGATTTGAGAAATCATCAGACAAAATCATAGAAACCCCATTATAACCAGGCAAAAATTCATGCCACCACAATAAGTCAAGTTTAAAATCAGCTTGAATGACTAATTTCCCTTTATCAGGAAAATCCCTTAACCAATTCAAAAGTCTTGAGACAAAAATTCGGCCAGAACGCACACATTGAGATACAAAATTTAATTTTCCCAGCAATGATTGTAATTCTCTCTTTGTACAATCTGTGCTACAGAGCCAATTCGAAACTAACTGCAGAATCTCTGCCAATCTTTGAGTATCACTGAAAAGAAATTGTCATATTCTCAGAATCAAATAAAATGCCAATAAATATCGTTTTTGTACTAGGCGGACAAGCTTTCTCAATTGATTCTTCAATGCCACACTTCTGTAAAATAAGACCCAATTTAGCATAAGCATCATCATTGCTGGAAGGAATATCACATCCAGCCAAATCATCTAAATAGTTCAAAATATCTACACCCATGTGTTGACATATAAATACAATAGCATTTGTTGTTCGCATACATATATATGCAGCAGATCTCAAACCCATTGTTAATACACGATCGTAATACAAGTGTCCTCTCCATTTGTAACCTAAGAGATGGATGTCACCGGGGTCTACGACTAATTATCTATAAGCCCGTTTCAGGTCCCTTTTAAACATTTTACAACCTTGACCTTTACTCTTAATTAACATAATAAAATCATCAACCGTGGGATACGAAACTGAAATTTCATCGCCTAAATATCGATCTTTGAAAATACCAGAATTAACCGCCTCGCCCTCTGGAAAGCTCAAATCAACAATTACCCTGCGTTCTATCGAATCCTTTTTTGGAACAGAATTTAAAAGAGATAAAGCTGAAGGACAGCTGAACGGATTTGCCTTAAATGGTCCAACAATTGCTTTATAAGAACTTTCTTTTTTCAAATATTTGGCAATATCATCTGGAAAATCAGTAGCCCCCGAATGATTACGGAAAAAAGTAGACCTGAACGGGCTCCCATCGTGACCCACCGGCCATCCATACTCCAAGAAGTCACAAACCTGAGCGTCACTATAATTCTGTAACAAGCTTCTTAACAAAAGAATATTAATTTTAGATTAAATTGGAATTCTACAACCCTGGAAATTGTACAATCCAGATTTTTTAACAATATTATGAATAGTTAGGGGACGACCATTTGATATTTTTTTTGGGGGGAATGGGGGGGGGGGGGGGGGGGGGGGGGCAGGAGGATTTTGAAAATAAATAACTCAGCCTTGATAATCACAAAAAATAAATGGTTTGTTCTGTGGTAGTTCGAAAATAAATAACCTGACTTAGAATGTATTGAAAATGAATAACTCGACAGGTCTTTAAGCCATTTTATAAATGCTATTCGAAAGTATATGGTGGCACCAGATTCTTCATAAAATTCATCTTTTTTCAAAAAAAAATTCGGGAAACACTTCCCAAATCTTTTAATAATAAAGGTATAAATATTATTTAAATATACTTGAAATGTCTGAAAATGGGTTTCATTTAACTTGAGGTATATTGGCTCAGGAACACTTACCTCACTTTTATTACAGGGCTGTAACTACATTGAGGCAAATGCCTTTATGTAGGAAATTTGAAAACCAAAAGCTTGTCTTCATATCAAATTGTTTTCACAGCGAGTGTTTGCAAGAAGCAAGTTCTCTTCTCCCTTGGACGTAGCACCTGTTTTTTCGGGATCAATGTTTCTTTAAATTTGTCTTTTGTTCATTGATTGCCCTTCTGTATTCTCTTAGTGTTGCATTCCTTTTGTGATTTAGTAATTTTGATTTCAAATTGGTCATGAGTTTTATTTTATTTAAGACTTTTTAGCTAATTTTACAACTTAACTTCTTTAAATTGTATCCCAGTTAAGAGCTACATAAAGTTGTAATTGAAATGTGTTATTAAAAATTACTTGACATAGTTATATCACTGATAATCAGCCCCCTCTTAACTTAATTTGAATAAAACCCCATATAATTTACAGGTATAAAAGATTTAAATTCTGCATGCCGAAACAACAACAAAAAAAAAAAAAAAAAAAACCAGCAGCCACATACTTAACTATGTGAATTACATTATCTTTATTCTTCATATTGGTCTTTTGATGTTGTCCATAAAAACTTAAGTCCTACGCTGAATCTATACATTTTGCTTTGAGACCCAAAAATTATTAAAACAGAATTTGCGTTTTCAGAATAAGAAAGGGTCTGGGAACGCCCAGAAAGCACGATTTTGCATCATTTGTTCTATAGTTTCTTTGGGCCTTCAGCGGCTTCAAAACCCTTCAAATTTTTTAAATATATTTGGCAATACTTTTAAAAGAGGCTAGTCACAGCCCAAACTCTAATACTGTGTATGTATGCAATACATGTATATGCAGTTTGGAATTCAGAAGATTCATTTCCACAGAGGATGATGATTAATTCTGATTAAATGGTACATTAATGACTTGACTGTACATGTATTATTTATAATAAAAAATGAATTTAAAAATTGTATGTTTTCAAATATTATTAATATAGTTATGAAAATAAATAATCAGTCACTTGTTTTAATGAAAATGAAAAATCTTGCTTCAACAGTGCAGAAAATAAATAATCTGTCCTCTTAGTTTACAAAAATAAATAACCGATCCAAAACAAATCCTCCTGCCCCCACCCCCTAGAATATCAAATGGTCGTCCCCTTACAAAATTTTGCATATCATGTGTACCCAAATAACTATTACAACAAAGATTACATTTAAGTGAATGTCTAGAACCCAATAAAGCTTTATGAAAATCAGGTAATTGAACATGTTAATTTAGTCAATCATTATGATGAGGACGTGCAGAAGAACATTCTGGATGATGACTTTTAAGTTTGTCTAATCTATAACAAGTGGCACAAAAATGATTAACCTCACGTTCAACACCTCTAATCATAATTTTATGCGGTGATGTTTTTGAACATTTATTCTTCTGAAATAAAGAACAATACCATAACGCAGGTGTCTTGGACTCTTTTTTACCACCAAAAGAAGGCTTCTTATCGAACTCCTGTTTAACATATTTAGACAGAAGAGGAACTTCCAAATTATCAGGAGTATCTTTCCAGGTTTTAACCCCCGTTTCAATTTGTCTCAAAAATGCAGCGTAGAAGTCAAGTAAAGGTTTCCACTGATAAATAGAAAAATAGAACTGTAATATACAATTTTCTTCAAAAGAGACAATCTAGTATTTCTCTCGTCACTTTTAATTTTGCTTGACCCAATTATTTCTAATTCTCCCGCAACAAACAGCTTTAAATCTAAATCTTGAAATGAAACAGATTTATTTATATATTCGTACTGAAGTGTAGTATGGGGCCAAGTTTGTGGATTCTGCACGTCATCGCTAGCTTTAGCAACCATACCCGATTTAACCTTTCGCTTTTTAAGTGATTTCTTTTTACATGACGAATCTGTACCTGATGTACTAGAAGTAGCATCATCAGTACTAGACTTGGATGAATCATAATCAGAACTATCAGATGATTCTGAAATTACTCGTGACTTGTGTTTTGTCACCCTAGAGCTACCCGGCTTTTTCAACTTTTTGGTCTTATCCAATTTAACCTTCGGGACATGAATACTGTCGTCCGAATCGGAATCTAAATATATTGTAATTGAACTTTTGAACTCTGCTTTTTTAAAGATTTTTTTAACGTTTGCGTAAATGCGAAGAAAAATCAAGCTCACTATCAGAACTATCTTGAGCAATTTCACTAGAATCGACTAACTCTATTAAATTATTCTTTTTTAAAATATCTGATAATTGTTTTTCTACTAATTTAGTCGAAACTTTCTTTTTTCTTAACTTTTCTAAATATATCTCACCCTTCCTTTTAAAACTTTTTGAGTCCCTGGTGTCTTTCCTTTTAGCTGGTTTTGTCTTCTTACCGGCTGTTTCAGTGGACTTTACTTCAGGTGCACTCGACTGGAGCTGGCGCGGTCTGCTAGACTTCTCGCCTACACCTTTCTCCTTGACTAAATCATTAAGTTTACTCGACTCCACACATTAACTTTTCAAGCGCGTTTTTGGAATTGCCCCCTGTTTTTCAAAATCGGCTTTTTCAAGCTTTCTTTCTTTTTCGGAAATGCTTACTTCTAAATTATGGATCCGATGTTCCAACCTATCTACTTCATAGTCAGGAGTAGTCTCATGATATAAAATATCAGATGTCGGGTCCGACACATCGAGTAGGTCCTCATGACCTAAACCAAATTCACTTATTAATTTATAATTTTTTCTTGCTTTATTTCGGGTTACAGGCATGATAAGCCTCCTGTGTAAGACACAGCAACTTGAAAAAATAGCAAATTCTTGCAACAAATGACTTGATAAAAAATTAAAAAGGAAAATTAATCAACAAAATAAGTACTTACGAAAAATAAAGTTACAAAAGTTTCATAGTTCAAATAAATCAAATGTAGTTGCCATGCCTCACAGGATGAACTTCTAACAGAAAACACCACATTAGTTTTCGGCTATCAACGGCAGAATGAAAAACTTTTAATTCCTTTAAATCACAAGTCTATAAAGGAACCAATCAAAATTCATTGTTATGTTATAAAATTCATAACAAGTTGTATCATTAGCTAAATGTAAAGAGCCGAAATAAATTGAACAGTATTAAGTCTATTTCTTTAATCTCTAGTCGCCAATTATATATTTTTAATCAATTAAAAATAGCACCATTGCTTATGGTAAGGGAGCTACCACTTGATTTTTATTGGGGGGCTAGGATGAAATTTGAAAAAAAGAGGCAGGACAGGAGTTTTGAGTAAAAAAAAAGACAGGATGAGCAACTTAGCAAAAAAAAAAGGCAGGATGACAATCTATGTAAAAAAAGTCAGGATAAACTAACAAAAAAAAAAGCAGGACCGAATAGAGCTCGAGTGAAAAATAAAAAGGCAGGACAGAGATTACAACTAAAAAAAAGGCAGGACAACATTTTTCATCCTAGCCCCCCCATAAAAATCAAAAGGTAGCTCCCTAATTGAAAAACAGTCCAAAACACAAAAACTTAACATTAACCAATGAACCATGAAAATGAGGTCAAGGTCAGATGATACTGGCTAGACAGACATTTCCATACACCAATTAAAGTTGACCTATTGCTATGGTAATTGAAAAACAGACCAAAACACAAAAAAAGGTCAGATGACACCGGCTTGACAGATATGTACACCTTACAATCATTCCATACACCAAACATAGTTGACATATTGCTTATAGTACTTGAAAAAAACACCAAAACACAAACACTTAACATTGACCAATGAACCATGAAAATGAGGTCAAGGTCAGATAATACCTGCCAGACAGACAGACATGTACACCTTACAATTGTTCCATACACCAAACATAGCTGACCTAGTATTGCTTACATTTCTTGATCAACAGACCAAAACACAAAAAATTAACAATGACCAATGAACCATGAAAATAAGGTCAAGGTTAGATGAAACATGCCAGTCTGACATGTACCCCTTACAATCATTTCATACACCACATATAGTTGACCTACTGCTTGTAGTATCTGAGAAACGGACCTAATCACGTAACTTTAACCTTGATCACTGACACATGAATTGAGGTCGAGGTTAGGTTAACCCTGTTTGACGGATGTGTAGACGTTGCAAGGAACCCATATACCAAATATATCTATCCTATTACTCATAATAAGTGAGAAATTTACATGACAAAAAAACTAATTTTTTTTCAAGCAGTCACTGAACCATGAAAATGAGGTCAAAGACAATGGGCATATGACAGACAGAAACTTAACATAAGGTATCTGCATACAAGGTATGAAGCATCAAGGTCTTCTACCTTCTGAAATATAAAGCTTGATACAAAAAGTTTCCGCTGCCACCGCTGGATAGTAATACTGTGTCTCACATACTGCGACTTTCGTCGCAGGCGAGACAAAAATCAAACATATAATCGGTGTAATTTAGGGGAAAAGTTTACTGTTTTCCGATGATTTTGTCGTGTATAGAAAACATTAAACAGAAAAATTTCCCCCAAAATTGAACCAATTGAAAGCTTGATTTTACTTCTTTACGTTGCTCTTACTCGACCCACTGAGTACCAGGATGTCCTACTACAGAGTAGGTAACCTGTCGAAACTCCGGAGTCAAAAGTTGATAATATGAAAATAGTCTATTGAATTTTTGTACATTCTTAGCATTTCTTCTTCTTTATAATTCAGCACCCCATCAACATACTGATGATACAATGCCAGACACTGATGTTACTATGATCTAATTTCTATTTACAGCTGAATACATACAAAATAAACATTTGGTTAAAACATTGTTTGTTTTCCCTTTGTAGAAACGGGTAAGAGGGTGCCAGTTGTAGGGAGAAACATCGGCTGTAGACATATTGTTTAGTTTTCAACTTATAACTTTAACTTGCCATGACATACAACTAGCAGTTCATAACAAGATATATTTATATGAGATTTACTGATTATCATCTTAAATATGCATGTAGTATTTGCTGCTGGTCTTAAAGCATCAGTTAATATATCAATAATTATTCTAAATCAAAAGACTTGCACATAAAAAATGGATTAAACTTTCTATTATGTGTACTATTTTTACAAAATATCAGGCCAATTTTTAGTGAGTAGGAGAAGGCTACCACCAGTGGGCAGGTTGAAATGACAAAACCAACATTAGCTCTAGTGAATCTTTGAGCCAGTTCATTCAATTATATTCTTCAGAATGGTATTGTAAAATCATTTTGCAACCTTCAAATGAAGCAGGATGAACTAGGGGATATCTGATTAATTAAATCAGTTCTTTCAAATGCAGGTTGAGGATCACACATTTAGGGTTGTCAATTTTTTTAATATTTTTTCAATTTCCAGTAGACTTACACTCTAGTAGAGACAGTCATGTTTCATCAGAAATAAATTTCAACCAACATACCATTAGAATGAATTGAAAAATACATAATTCTAAAACAAGCAGACCAATTGATAAGGGATCATTGGAAGCCATTGATGATACATTGTCAAAATTAATTCGAAAAAAATTACTCAGTTTAAAAATTAAAATAGCCGATGGAAAACTTCATCTCAACTTGTAGTAAAATCTGTGTAAGTTTGCTTGAATTCTGTCTAACTGTTTTCAAGGTCTTGTTTATTAACAAATTCAGGTGGCACAATCAAATCAGGAGACAGGCATCATTCTAATAATTGAAGATTTGACAGTGTTATTTAAAAGGAGAAGAAATTTAAAAAGATTCCAATCAGAATCAAATGACCATGTTTTAGTAAGTGCTTGGAATAGCTAACCTGCCTCTAAGGGTCATGTTATTAGCTAATTCAATATTAGGGTTTCATTAAATATCTCTATGGACAGGTTCAAAACTCCTTTCAATACTCTATTGCTGAACGGAATAGGATAAAGAAACATTTTGTTAAAGACTGTTTGCTGCCTTTAAGATGTCTTTTGGATATTTTAGTCATTGGGTTGATGTCGCAATGCCATATATACTACATTTTCTTTTATTCATATTAATTAGTATGACTATTTAAGTGTCTATAAATCAATTTAATCATACTTTTGTAATTAACAACCAATAAAGATAAAGAATAATAAAAAAAGAAAATTTATGTTAATATAAGTTCCAATCTCTTATGATTATATGTCAGCTTATGCAAATAGTTCTATTTTATGCATACACCATGCTTTCTTCCATTTTGTTCTTTCAACTGAGAATATTTGAAACTCAACAGTTCAACAAGTCCTCAATCGAATAATGAAGCAGAGACACCATGCTTCATAATACAAATAAAATCCTCCTCAGCTAGATCAGCTTGTGTGCTGACTTTGCAGTCTTGACTAGGGAATTACCTATCTTGTAAATGGCTCAATTTCCTAATTGAAAAATATAAAAGATTTTGAAAAATTTACAACAACAAAAATTTAAATTACATAAACATCCTCTTTCCTTAAGCTTTATATGAATATTTTTAGTTGTTATTTTCCAACATCTGTCTTGCTTTTATCATACTGTTGTGAATGACTATAGAGATATATGTAAAAGGAATTACTATTACATGTACATGTAATAATCCAAAGTGAGAAGATAAATGTATACAATCAACTAGAAAGAACTGTTAAGGTGATGTCTCCCCTTTATCTATTAAAGTTACTCCTGTTAAGAAAGGGCAAAAAAACATAGTCAAGTGCTGGAAAAGTACTGCCATGGAAAATAAGAATACATATATGGTTATGTGTAGAGATAGTAACTGTTTCCAATATATATTTATCAATATATTATGATATGAGGGGTGCAACACAAAACCCCCAGGGATAAAAACTATGGTCATGGCAATTTAATATATGTGTTATGGTTAAGAGGGATTTCTGAACAGTTGTAGAAATATTCAAACAATTTATAAAATGACAGGGGTCAGACATGACCCTAAGGAAAAAAACTAGTGCAGTAGAAGGTGTTAACATTGCAGTTAAGAATACATATGGTTCAGGGAAGGAATATGATCAGTTTTCAACATATTTAACAATTAAAGATATGAGGGGTAGGACATGTTCCACAGGAACAACAAATAGTGTGCAATAGTAAGGTCTTATCATGGCAGTAATAAGAATATAATATGGTTAAGAGGTTGGGATTTTAATACTTTAGATATGTTAAATAAGATAACATATGAGGGAGGTAGGGCATGATGACCTCTGAGGTCAAACCTCAGGCACAATGAAAGTCTTGTCAAAGTAAGCAAGAATATACATGGTTTTGGTTGAACATAAAAATGTTCCAAAAAAATATATCATATGACCTTGATATCAAATGTCAAAAATGAAAACACTGCTTAAAGATAAATATTTGAAAGCCAAGAACGTATAAGAACCAAAACAGTTGAAGAGCTATATAACTAAAAAGGACCTAAAGAAATAGCCAAATCCATCTAAGGTCAACTTTGCCTGAGAGAATTTAAACCTTAGTTTCCTCAAAGGTCATAATCAAAGGCACATGACAACTCATCTTGAAGTGAAAAAAACTTATTTCAAAGGATAGCACTGTGGTCTGAAACTGAAAAAAATAATTCAATTTGACCTTGAGTTCAAAAGTAAAGGTCATAAAAAGGTCCTGATGATATGCCACAGACTGTCTTATAGTAATACACCTTCATGCTAAATAATAGAATTTATGTAATTACTTTTTTTTTCCACAATTAGAAAAATTTACACATTATTTCTTCAAGTAAATAAACTTGAAATCAGGAGAGGATAAATGATATAAAGTACATTTATTTTATCGCTTTGAAAACTTTTGACGCATAATTTAATTTCAATGCAAACCAGTTAAACATGAGAAACGACTTCAAATATTAATCAATTTATGTCCAGTACTATTTAGTCTACTTGTCAGCTGATCATGTAATTCTCAGGTGTCAGATAACAAATAACCTAGATAGTAGTAAATATTTTGCTGAGGGGGTATTTATTAAGGGCTTGTTTTAGATTAATTGCTCCTTGTGTCACTTTTATGACTGGAAAAGTGTGCCTTTGCTAAGGAAATTGCCAAGTAAAAATGATTGCATAAACCTAAAAAAAAAAATCTGAATCATACTTAAGTGGCAAGCCAACATTTATTGTCGGTTTCAGTCACAAAACACCAGGACAATGATTTAATTTTGTAGGTCATGTCAACAGAATATGACCGTTTTCAAAGCCATGTATATATTCCATATCTGTTTTTATTCATATTTGTACCAGTGAATGAAATAACATGCTTCTATGCTTAGTTTTAAACTGGTAATACTTTTTGAAAAAATTTCAGTCTTCAAATCAAATACATAGAGCAGTTACTAAGTTTCAAAATTTCACATGAGTTTTGTTTAAAGTTGGAAAATAATTACCTTTTTGTCTTTTTCATGATCAAGTAACAAGATAATGGCTCTGTAATCCTCTTTTCTGCAAACAACCTAACCAGAAGAAGACTTCAAGTAACTGATTTCTGTCTTCTGCTTTCATTATATCAAATATTTGAGTGTATTTTATATGTGAACACATGTTTTCCACAGCACCTGGTTCGAATCCTTTAAGGTCCCTGTAATGTTTATTGGACAGCTGAAGGTAATAGAAGATTATCTGAAAAATAGATTGTTTACAGATTAACATTTCCTTATTTTCTGAAATTGTAAATTCATTAAACTGCATTGAAGACCCATTGGTGGCCTTTGGCTGTTTTCTGCTCTTTGGTCGGGTTGTTGTCTGTTTGACACATTCCTCGTTACCATTCTCAATTCTATTCAATTCTAACATAACGTTCTTCACTCGCATTGAAAACAAATTTAATTCCAATAGAACATGGGGTGATTAACGTCACAGTTAAATTTGCAACATTACTTGTATTTTAAAAAACGCTGGAGATCAAAATGGACATTTGTATTGGTGTTGCTCACAAGAAAATTAAATAAAATCTTTCAGAAAATAAGTTTACATGTATTGGTTCATTTTTTTTATCATGAAACACTTGATTTTCTATAATGTTTTGGCTGTCTTTCAAACATGTCTAATAGGTCAGCTTTGAAGTACAAAAGTGATGAATTTTCCTTCTAGAATTGGAACAATTCTTTCATGCCATACTCTATGCTCATTTCAACATGGGTTGGCATTATATTTGTCATTTTTTTTTCACCTAGTTTATTCTAAGTATAAAGATATTGACAAATATAATGCTGACCCATGTTAAAATGAGCATAGATCATGGCATGAAAGATTCATTTCAATTATAGTGTCTGCCTCTTTTCCATGCAGAATAAATTTTAAAAAACATGGTTATAAGAACCGTTATCATTTATAACGTGTATGATGAATTGTAATAATTACAAGTATGATCCAGTACCAATAAGGTTTGGAACATTTCAAGAAATCCAAGTTTAGTACACACAAGGTGATTCAGTAAAAAATCACTCTAGATAGTAAATACTGTGCCTATTTTTTTCCTAATTTGCCAAAAGGTTTTGATTGAGTATATTTCACAGCACATGACAAAAAACTGACAGCAACCTCAATGAATAGCAATAAAAAATAGAAGATAAACTTCATTTCAAAGAACTAATACCTTTGTTTTCATGCACATGATAGAACGGGCGTATTGTGTTTCCGCTAATTTTTCAAAGTTCCAATACTAAGTTTCCGGAAATTTAAAGCATACGTTTCCAGAATTTGTATTTATTACTTTTCCAGAAATTAACCTGGTAGTAAATTATAAATATTTGAATATATGTTAGATAAATTATTTATTTTATATTTTTATACAAAAAAGGTTCTGATCTTATTCATTTCATGCTGCTACAATCAGTTGTTGCAGGTTTCATTTAGGAAAAAGTTGGTGGCGTAAAATTCAGTCGATAGGTCTTAGTGTCAATTACAAGGACAAAGATTCAGATTTTGGAAAATGGCTGACACATTTCTTTCGTTTGGCTTACTTGCCAAACAATAAGATTAAAGAATGCTCTGTAGAATTAATAGCAGATGCTCCATCTGACGATAAATGCATGAAGTTTGCAGATTACATATTGGAATTTTATATAGATGGCAATTCGAGATTTCCACTAACCATTTGGGCATCACCTCCTGACCCTGAGGAAAAGAGAACAACGAATGGTGCCGAGTCTTTTCATGCCCACTTGAACCAGCAGTTTTACATTTATGTCTTTGTAGATGTGCTATTAAAACTGCAAACAACATCATACATAAAGATGAGAACTTTATCTATTAAAGCAACCGTTCGAAAATATGAAAAGGAGAAGATGGACTTCCTTGTTGAACAAAACACAAAACTTGTAAACGGTGAATGTACTACTGTGGTATTTCTTAATTATTTTCCCGGAAAAGTAATAATTTATTTTTTCCGGAATCATAACTATTTTCCCAGAAAAGTAAGGTATTTATTTCCAAAAACGTTGACTTTTTTTCCCGGAAACGTCATCTTTTTTTCCCGGAAAAGTAATGCCAATTTCCGGAAACATAAAACGCCAGATAGAAAACAGACAGCAGCATTAGTAAAAGCAATACGAAATAGAAGATAACCTTAATTTCAAAGAACTAATACCTTTGTTTTCATGCACATGATGCCAAGTGTTTCTGGAACAAATATTGAGTTATGACATTCAGCAAGCATTTCATGACCAAACTGTGCTAAAACATCTGGATGAATTTTACTGTGAATCCATGGTGATTTTTCTGGCTTCTTATGATAGCTTGGGCTTGTGCTGTCAGTCTAACAATGAACAATTTTGAAACTGTAGAACTATGAGTGAACTCACAAAGTATATCCCAGCACAAAACAATACTATTAGCCATTAAAGTAAATAAATTCAAGTAAATAATTCAAGTATCTCCTCACCCCCCGTTTTTGGTGGGGTTCGTGTTGCTTAGTCTTTAGTTTTCTATGTTGTGTCATCTGTACGGTACTATTATTTGTCTATTTGTCTTTTTATTTTTGGCCATTGCATGTCAGTTTGTTTTCGATCTATGAGTTTGACTGTCTCTCTGGTATCTTTCGTCCCTCTTTTCAAAGAATTAATTTATAACTGATTATAAAAGTTTATGAAATTTTAAACCAATCCTCAGCATTGTAGTTTGATTGCCACAACCTACCAATTTTAATAATAATAAAGCATCCAAACATCACTAAATGTTACAGTCATCTCAATGTTTTGTTCCAGTATCAACTTTCACCCTTTTGTTTATTTGAGCATCTGCAATTGCAGAAAAGGTCATAGAAATTTCAGCATATATTAGAACTATATATTTAATCATAACCCTGTTGATATATATATATACATATACACATTTTTTTTGTTATAAATTAGGCTGTTGGTTTTCTCATTTGGGTTATTTCGCATTTTTCATGTCACAACCTTTAATAGCCGAATGTACATTATGGTTTTTTGCATTAATGAAGGCTTAATGTTGCCTATAATTGCCTACATACACTTCATTTTAACTCTGGTGGATAGTTGTCTCATTGGCAATCATTCCATATCTCCTGATTTTTATATATATACATACTGTACTTATATCTTCAGTTGAACTGAATTCTTCACTCTCTACAGTATCTTCTGAAGTCTTTAAAGCTGTACTTTTAACCTGGAAATATAAATGTTGAGAAAACAACTTTTGTTTATCTGAAATTCTGTCAGAATTAAAAAGTCTTTTCACACGTTTACCTTTCGAATGGAAAGAGAATGTACAGCGTCATGAGCCTATGTCAATGCCGTTGCCCAGGTATACAGGGATAAAAAGATTATGAATGGTCTTTCAAACTCAAGGATGTTTCTCAGCTACATCTTATCTCAGGACTGTCTCCCTTCGATGATATTGTATCTGAGAAACACCATCTTGTTTGAAATACCATCTTTTCTGCAAAATATAACACAACTTTAAAACCAAAAATGATATTTTCACTGCTTTTTTGTGAAGTGTTCCCTAGTTTATTGGCTTTTTAATTAGTTAAAAATTTGAAGGGTTAAATGTGATAAAACAATCTGATTAAAATCAAATCTTTCACTTTGCTCTGCTAGATTTGCTTTAAAGGAGCATATTTTTCACAAATATTGGATGCCTTTAATGTCTTCAAAAACAAAATGTAGAACGTGGATGCATTGTTTTCTGGCCCTGCTACTGTATATTTATACAAAAGTAAATGTGGAATGCTGTTTTTGATGGCCATAAAAATGTGACCTGAAGACACAATGTATTCATTTATGTTCATGTACTCGTATGCAAAATTACTTCTCAAAGAACATGAAGAAAGTATGATAGCAGAGAGGAAAGGGCTGCTTTGAAAACCTATTGCTACACTCCCACATACATTTTAATGGAACAGCCTATGTATTTACCTCTGCTAGCATCATTAATACATTTCTGTTTGGTATGGATGACTGTTGCCAGTAACGTACATCAGGAAGACTTCCAACTTTCTTGTTTCTAATCCATAAATTAGTTTTATCTCCTTCACCAATTCTGTAACGATTCCAAACCTAATGGGTTATGGTTGGATAATATGAAAAATTAGTATGGATTCAATATGGACTGCATATTGATTCTACATGTATGTCATGTATGTGGACAGGTTGTTGATTAAATGATGGATTGAAAAATACATTTAAGCAAACCAAATTAACTGTGCTTATTGACAAGGTGAACTATTATTGTTATGCTAACAGACCAAATCTTTTATTTTGTAAATAAATTTTAGATTTCAGCATGAAAATGCTCATTTAATTACATTATATATATATATTTATGTAATTTATATTGTAAAATGAATATCAAGTCTAGGAAATAAGGGCTAGTGAAAAGTAACTAACTTCAAGACCAAATTAAAAGCAATGACGTTTGGATTCAAATGTGCAGTTTAAATCAAGTTCTTTACTCGGCTGATGTCATGGACAATTGTTTTACGCCCCTTTACATACAGCTTTGTGATTAAACATGCTAAATGTATAAAAAGATAGTGAATGGTACTTACAAAAACTACTTACTCTGGAGTAAGAAAGCATATTTCTGTAAACTTCATAAAAAGATAGGTAAATGAAGCTTCTTTAATATGAAAAGGACTTGTTTGTTTCTTGTTTTCAATATCATCAAAAGCCTCATTGATTAACAAGTTTAACAACTGAACTGCCTGGTCAAGAAAATCCACAACTTTGCAGTACCATCTTTCAAACAGTCTGTAAAAAATAATAACCAGTAATTAAAAATGTTATTTCTTTATCTTGATAATAGCCATTCACATAAAATGTAAGTTCTATAGAAGAGCTTTGTAAAAGAGAGGCGAAAGATACCAATGGGACATTCAAACTCATAAGTCAAAAATAAACTGACAACGCCATGGCTAAAATAGAAAAAGACAAACAGACAAACAATAGTACGTATACACAAAACTCAACATAGAAAACTAAAGACTGAGCAACACGAACCTACCGAAAACTGGGGTGATCTTGTAACATAAAATAATGTCCCGCATGAAATATTATCTGTCGGACAAAATTTCATATAAAATATTGTCCATGGACAGTTTTTCATATTGAAATACTGTCCAGGACAATATTTCATTATGAAATAATATCCTTGTCCATGAAATCTTGTCATCTCTATCCATGACAATATTTCACTGTGAAATTCTGTCCATGACAATATTTTATTGTGAAATACTGTCCATGAAAATATTTCTTAATCTAATTATATCTTCCCTGAGAAATCATGATCTGCAATGAAATCATGTGCGTTTCTGGAATTTTCAAAATATTTTTCATAAAAATTATGTGTATAACCAAAAATTGCTGCATACATAACATACATCAATTATGTATGTATGTTTGTTATTATCAATCAAGTAAATCACTTTAAAGATATCATTGTCCAAAATATTAAATGATTATAACCTCCCTTTCATGGACAAAATTTCATGACAATCCACCTATAGCTATGAAATATAGTCTCAATATACACAATATATATAACCTTGGATAACCTCCCTTTTTAAAACAAGGTAAAAATTTCATACTATCCACCTATGAAATATAGTCTGTATATGGAAAAAATTTCACAGGGAAATTATTCCTTCTCTGGACATTATTTCATAGATGGGGACAAAATTTCAAGATACAAAGTCATGAAATATTGTCTTGGGGGATAATATTTCATAGGACAATATTTTGCTTTACAATCTCAGGTGCTCAGGAAGGGTAAGCAGATTCTGCTCCACATGCTCGTGTAAGTACAAACCCAGTGATCAGTCTAATTGTGTAGGTCACATTCAGGGAAGAGAGGACAGGATTGTAGTTACGACAATTAGAACATATCCGTCGTCGTCTGTGAAACAGAAATTCTATAACATATAACCAACTTGTGATGGTGTCTGTAAAATTTACGAAGAGAAGATTTCAACTTCACCACTTGGAACTCTTGGTTAAATAGCTACCTTGTGATTCCACTTGCCCATTCCAGAACAATTATTTAAAAATCTAATGTGGAAAAGTGCATTTTTCATCACTTTTATTTTTTTGCTGGTAATGTTTGGGTGAGAATATTTGGCAGCAGTCAATTTGAAAATATGAAAAGCTTACTCTTGAGGAAAAAATATTGAACTGTTAAGCTTTGGTCTAAATTTGTATACATTGTAATGCACAGAATAGGATTTGTTTTGTTGAACCATGACAGTTCACTTTTGGCCTAGATAAGTCCAACATTCAGTAGAAAAGTTAGATGTTATTATATTGTTTAAAATTTCTGGACAAAATAAAAGAGGAAATATATATATTCAAAATATTTTTATTTAAAACCCCTGAAATTCTCAATTTTTGAGAGATCATAACATGCTTCAAACATTCATTTTATGGTTTGCATACTAGTATTTACTTTCACGTACATGTATATATGCAAGTAGTTTTATTTACAAAACAAGTCAAGGAATACCATTTCCTGGATTCTCATGTCAGAGGGTTTATCTTTGTCTCTTACTGTTTTTTGTTATTGGTGTCAGATCATGGGTTATTATTGAAGAATTTGATGTTTCAGAACCTAAAGGTCTGTGGGTGATTTAGGGAGCTACCATTTGATTTTTAGGGGGGGGCTAGGATGAAAAATTTTGTCTTGCAATTTTTTTTTAGTTGTAATTTCTGTCCTGCCTTTTTAATTTTCACTCTTGTCAGTCCTGCCTTTTTTTAATTATTTTATTCTGACTTTTTTTACATAAATTGTCATCCTGCCTTTTTTTTTTTTGCCAAGTTGCTCATCCTGCCTTTTTGTTTTACTCAAAACTCCTGTCCTGCCTTTTTTTCAAATTTCATCCACAAACAGAGGAGTTTATGCAAGTCTAATAAATACATGTATATGGAATTTTCTTCTTTTTGATAATTAATTTTTGCCTGTTTTTCTTTGACACTGCCCCCTTATTCATGTTACATGTACAATGTAGTATATATATATAGTCAGAGGTGAAAAGTCAGTATAACCATGTATGATATATGATATATGATCACCATTTGAAAATTCAGCTATACATTTCATATATGATAGATACATTTCTAATAAAGATTCTTAACATTTCTAATAAAGATTCTTAACATTTCTAATAAAGATTCTTAACATTTCTAATAAATATTCTTAACATTTCTAATAAAGATTCTTAACAAAACATGTTTAAACCTGCCGTATTTTTAACAAGTCAGGAGCCTCTGGCCTTTGTTAGTCTTGTATATTTTTTTAATTTTAGTTCATTTATATGTTTTGGAGTTTAGTATGACGTCCATTTTCACTGAACTAGTACACATTTTTATTTAGGAACCAGCTGAGGCCCGCCTCTGGGTGCGGGATTTTCTCGCTGCGTTAAAGACCCATTGGTGGCCTTCGGCTGTTTTCTGCTCTTTGGTCGGGTTGATGTCTTTTTGACATACATGTATTCCCCATTTCCATTCTCAATCTTAACATTTCTAATAAATATTCTTATCATTTCTAATAAAGCTTCTTAACATTTCTGCACTTGTACTCAAGCAGAGACATATATACTCGTGTATATATGTCTCTGACTCAATTTTCAAATCTAATTCTTGTCTAATTTAAATGGGGTTTTTTTTCAATTAAAAAATGAAATGTCTGCAATGAAATATATTTTCTTGCAATAATTATGAAATATATTTATGATTTATACTTCTAAGAAAAACATTGTCAAATTGAAATATAAATTTCTGTACACAAAAAAAAACATATCTATATAGGAAATAAAATGCTCCGCTGGGCGCAGCTTGATACGACCGCAGAGGTCGAACCCTGAACAGTTGGGGCAAGTATGGACACAACATTCAAGCTTGATACAGCACTGAATTTGGATTGTGATTAAATATTTGACACAGCATAAGTTTCTGACACAGAATGAATGTGGTCGAAGAACTTAAAAATTTTTAATTTACCTATTCAAACCATATCATTATTATTTGCTTTTATGTATAAACCAGAAATAACCAATTTAAAATGGAAAATTTTAAAGAAAAAAAAAGGAAAAAAAGGAAAAAAAAAAATCCCTCCCCCCAAATTTTTTGAACCCCCTTATGATTCATCACCCCCAAACTCAATCCCAGCCTTCCCTTTGTGGTATGGTACCTTGCAGTACAATTTCAGAGAGATCCATACACTTGAACACAAGTTATTGTCTGGAAACTAGAAAAATGCTTGTTTTTGCCCCTTTTTGGCCCCAAATTCCTAAACGTTTTGGGCAATTACCCCCAAACTCAATCCCAGCCTTCCCTTTGTGGTATGGTACCTTGCAGTACAATTTCAGAGAGATCCATACACTTGAACACAAGTTATTGTCTGGAAACTAGAAAAATGCTTATTTTTGGCCCCTTTTTGGCCCCTTATGCCTAAACGTTTTGGGCAATTACCCCCAAACTCAATTCCAGCTCTCCCTTTGTGATATGGAACCTTGTAGTACAATTTCATAAAGATCCATACACTTACACACAAGTTATTGTCATGAAACTAGAAAAATGCTTGTTTTTTGCCCCTTTTTTGGCCCCTTATTACCAAAATTTTGTTACCTTATGGTAAAATTTCATAGAGATCCATTCACTTAAACTAAAGTTAGAGTGTGAAAACCAATGTGTCTTCGGACGACGATGACGACGACGACGACACCAACGTCATACCAATATTCGACCACAAAATTTTTTTGCGGTCGTATAAAAATGATACTTATTTTCTATAAATAATAATTTCCAAGTAGTGACAAACCATAAGAATATTTCATGAAACTTTTTAACAATGTTTCAAATAATGTGTTTTTAAATGAACGTACATGCACATTTGTACAATATACATGATATACATGATATAGGGGAATTTTTGATTGGTGAAATAATTTTGGCCTACATTTGTTATTGTCATTTTGGTACCTTGTTAAATCGGCACCTGGTCAAATTGGCATCTGGTCAAATTGGCATCTGGTATAGTCAAATCATCAATTTTAATAGTCAAATCAGGACCTGGTTAATTCAGCACCTGAGGTAGTTATTTCCCCACCCATGGTTAACATTATGTTTTGCAACTTGTAAAATACTCTGAATTTTTCCATATTTTTTTTTTAAATATTTTCACTCTACAGGTGCCAGTAAATCAGTTTGGCCTTTTATTACTTCTAATTTTCACAGGATTAAACCACAGGAAATCAGTTAGCAATATACATGTTAAGTCATGTAATTTAAATAGCTTTTTGTATTTCCTATCTGTATTTATATTAAATAATTTACGTTGGCACCAAGATTTTTATGTTTACTAGCAATGTGCAGTATGCTATCCATGTCGGTATATAGAATTGTTCACAAAACGGAACCTTATTAGTATACTGCACATTGCTAAAAAACATACAAAAGTTCTTCTTCTTCAGTTTCAGAAAACCATCATCATACTGATATTTACTTTCCGGCACATGCCTGGTAAATGTTTCCAAATTTATTAAGTATTATTAAACGCAGGTTAACAAAATTTTTAGTTTTCCATAATAATATTTTTGATATGTTATATATATACATTGTATTTGTTATATTATCAATTTTTACAATTTTTCTTTGTTTTTAGATTTTTTATTTTTATTTAATTTTTTTTCTAATATTAAATTTTTTATTTTTTTTTTTTTAATTTAAGATAAAAACATGATTGCCTGTTTAATTCAGGTGTGGATAGGTATCAAGGAGCACATTGTGAGTGAGTGCACCCTTGAATGTTTCTGTAGTGGTGTTTTTAGTTATGTTGGAGGATAATTTGTTCCAGTCTTTAATGGTTTGACAAAAAAAAGAAAATTTGTAACTGTCTTTGTTACATTGAATTTGTCGGGAGGCATTTTATTGGTGGATCTTGTATTAGACTGACTCAGCTGTAATAACTTTTGCGATGGAATGGCAATATTTTCATTTATAATTTCATGAAACATTATTAGCCTTGTTCTTAGTCAGCATTCTTGAAATGTTTTCCAATTCATGGTGTCTAGCATCTCAGACACACTGCTGGTGTTTTAATGTCTGTTACTCCCATTGTATGGCAGCTTCTAGATCTTCTTGAAGCTTGAGGCAGTCGTTTTGAGATTTAATTTGGTGGTAAATTATACTGTCCTCTGTGAAGAGTCTGATTTTGCTATGTTTGATATATTCTGGAAGGTCATTTATGTAAATAAGGAATAGTATAGGTCCTAGCACTGTACCATGTGGGACACCTGATGTGACTGGTATTTTTGAAGATGACATGTTTTCTAAAAGTAGTTTGAGTTCTGTTCAAAAGAAATGATTCAACCCAATTTATGATTTGTTTTGATATGCCAAAGTAGTTCATTTTGTATAGTAATCTTTTGTGTGGTACCTTGTCGAAAGCTTTAGCAAAATCCATGATTATAAGATCTGTTTGTATGTTCTTGTCATTGTTTTGTGATAATTCTTGTATCAGAGAGATAACTTGGGACTCACATGATCGCTTTGCCCTTAATCCATGTTGTAATTCATAAAGTGTGTTACTGATTTCTAGATGTTGCATCATGCTGCTTGCAAAAATATGTTCCAATAATTTTTAAGCTATGCATGTTAAGGATATAGGTCTGTAGTTACCTGGGTTATGTTTATCCCCTTTTTTGAATACAGGTGTGACGTTTGCGTGGTTCCAGTCAGATGGTACTTTGCCTGTTTCTAATGATCTGATTAATATTAACTAAGGTGAGGATGTCTGTACATATTTCTAATTTTGTTTTAGTACTCTACCTGCAATGGTGTCAGGACCAGTAGCTTTATTAGGGTTTATGTTTTTGATAAGTTTATAAACACCATCTCTAGATATTGTAATGGGTTTCATCTTGGGATGAATACTAGGACCTTTATCTGGGATGTTAGTGTTTGCTTCAGATGTAAAAGCAGACTGAAATTGTTTGTTTAGTATGTTTTCTTTCTCAGATGGACTTGAGTGCAGTGTACCTTCACTTCTTAGAGGAGCTATGCCAGTGTTGTCATTTTTCTGGCTTTTAATGTAAGAATATAATTTTTTTTGTGTTTTTTTAAGCTTGGTTGATCTGACTCCTTTATTTCAATATGAAAAATCATATTTTCTATATATTGCCTGTATGAGTTTCTCATTTCTTTCTGGAGCTTAGTTTCAATTTCTTGATATTGTTTTTTATACTTGGGATTTTCTTTTTTATTTTTATACAGTTTGTTTTTCTTGTTGATCAGCTTTTTTAGTTGTTTATTTACCCAAGGTAGTTTTGATTTGTTACTAAATAATGCTTTTTGTTGGAATATGCTTAGCAATAGATTTTTGGATGTTGGTATTGAAAGTATTCCATATATAGTTGATCGAGACTCATTTTATTTTGATCTTGTTTTAGCTGTTTGTAGGTTTCAGTGAGGTCTTTTTCTATTTGGTCCCAATTTGCCTTTTTGTAGTTTTATACTTTATCTGTTTATGAGCCTGTTGTTTATTTTGCGGCAGTGCCAATGTTAATTATTCTATACAAGTAGACAGGAAATGCAGAAAAAAAAACAATTTAAATTACAATGATTAATTTGTTTACATGTATATCCTCATCTGTGGATTAAACAACAGCTTGGATAATGGCTTCTTTGATATATATAAATTCAAGGTACACTAGAATTATAAAAAATCAAAAGCTACCTGAAAATCGTTAAAACCACAAACAGGTTATTTTTTTTTTAATTGGAATGGTATAAGTTCAATCTGAAGTTTTTTTCAAAATATGAAAACCAATCAAAACATAATTAATGGAATGTTGAGAAAACTTAAACATTGTTAAAACAACAAATAAATTTATTATTTTTATTGTGTATTCTAACTGCCTAAATTCATTGAAATTACATGTGCTGAAATTTTAACGATGTACAATTTTTTTATTTCTTTAACCTCTGAAATTGTACACTTTGCATTTAGTTTGCAAACATGTATATTAAAAAAAATTATTTGCATGCACTATACATTACCATACAAATCCTTGCCCCACCCTACCTAGAAGAAAAAGAAAGAAAAGGGTAAAAATAGTATAAGGTGTCGATTTGACTAGATGCTGATTTGACTGACTTCTTATATAATATAGGTGCCGACTCAACCAGGTGCTGATTTGACTTATACATGTACCCAGAGACATATAATTATACGCATATTGTTTCATATCGGGGCCTTTAACTGACTATATGGTATGTGTTTTGCTCATTGTTGAAGGCTGTACGATTGCCTATGTGTATATTTGTCTCTGATTTGAAAGACAATACATTACATTATGTTCCCCCTCTTTTGTACAAGTACAAGTACAAGACTTACTCTCGATTGAGTGGTTCTTCATCAAGATATTCTGATTGCTCACATCTTATCTTATTTGCAAAAAGTCTGACATTTTTCTTGGTATCTTTAAGAATTTCAATTCCTTTTTCTTGCTCTGGTCGAACAGTTATATCACACATTTGCCAAGTGTCCTCATCAATTGTAAAGTTTAAGCATTCTTTAGTAAAATCAATCAATGTTTTGACTATATTTGGAACAACATCTGGTACACTACGTCTTTTCTTTAAAAGATTTATCAAGCTTTCTACTGTTAAGCAATCACCCGCAAAGAAAATTGAATTTTGGTCGAGGTCCTGGATCTTCCACGCTGATGTTGCAGATGAAATAAGTTTGGTCGGAAGTTCTTCATAATCTTCAGTGGACTCTGACAAACTAGTGTCTCTCTGACGTTTTCTTGAAGTTCCGGGAGACGACATGGTAAGAAAAAAATTTCACAAATCTACTAGGAGAAAACTAGTGAGAGGGGACAGCAACTTTCTTTTTCTCTGTAGTTTTATTGTTCTGTGTATAATTTTCCCATAGATAGGAGCACTTTTCATTACTTTGTCAACATAAATTATGCGAGAAATTCATTAAAAATGTTTTAAGAAACGGAGTTATCTATAGTTCTAGTCTCATTAAATATGGGTCAAATCTTGTGATTTTCCAAAAAGCTAATATGAACCCTGGTACTAAAACAAGTGATTCACTTGAGACCACCGTTGAAGTCAAAATGTACCTAATTATTATAAAACTAAACGTTTATTCCCAATTTCACTGAATTTGATACAGTGAATGTTATTTATATGTTTAGATAAGTCATGTATGATTTTAGATAAAGAATGAACTTTGGACACCAATTCAACAACTAAATCATGAAATTATGGAGATGAAAACTACCGTGTTCTACCCTACAGTCAGTTTGTCTTCAATGTCATATTTTTTTTTATCAATATCAAATTAAAAAGCAATCCTAAGAAGAATTGGAAAGATAGTAGACAAACACAACTGACAAATGTTTGAACAGATAAATGTCTAAAAAAACAACCGGCATTATAGGAAAAATTGACATGCATTGAAATTGAAAAAGATATTTTTGTTTACATGTTCATCTATATATATATATATATACGTTCCATCCATTTATCCCATATTTATCAAAAGATTTTATATAAGCTCCATTTGTAGAAAAAAGATAAATCCCATAAGATGATATAATTCAAGTGTAAAGTCTGACACATATATTGATTTGTTTTGCATTGGAATATGCTTATTTCAGTAAAATAGAATAAATTATTCCAATAATGCGATCGAAGTCGATCGACTGCTCTATACTTCGTGTACTTTTGGAGCACGGTATTCATAAAAGTGTAAATCATCTTTTCTAATTAAACCCATAAATTGTCTGGTTTCACGACAATCCATTCAGAACATCCACGAAGAGATGAACAAATAAACAAACTAATTAACAAGCAAGCAAGTAATAACATTATCAAAGCAAATAAGAAAACAAAACAACAACTCTGAAAAGACAAATAGTTCGTGCATATTCTGGGCCAGAAGCAATGAAATAAATATCCTATATGTAATTATATATACGTTCTTCAAAGTCGGAGATGAAGGGAGAGAAATCTAAACTGGTGTGTTGGATAGGGAACGGAATTTAATTTTTCGGCAACATGCAACCAACGGATCCCTCAGAATTGTTGGAAGGGATTTTGAACTTGCAGAGAGCTTGGTACTCTCCCTATACGAGATATGAAATTTAACGACCCCATTCTGACCAGACGTGGCTGCACATTTTTTCATCCCGAACAGCCAAATGGACGTCCCTCTTTAGCACCGGTTTTACTGCTTGACGAGAGGAGTCCAAGGTTATCATATTTCTAACCAGTCAACCCTTGAGTAATTGTACATCAAAGTCAACGTATGATTTTTAACTATAAATTGAACTGAACGAAAAAGAAATGTTAAACATTTCAATGATTGACTTCAATTCTAATTTTGATAATAAAGAATATAATTAAGATATTCCATGTATTAATATTATAGTGTATAAATATCCTAGATCCCTTTAAGATTTGTTCTAGGTCAACACTCCTGTTTTTGATGATCACAAAGGGGGAGGGGGACAAAAAGAGTTTAAAATGTCCTATCTCCAATGTGTTGAAAAATGGTGTCATGATAATAATATGTTTATAAATTCCGATAAAACTAAAATGTTCATTCAAAAAAGATTTAAAAAATTACATAGTGGAACATTGAGAAGCTGTGTAATTTTATTTGCATAATACTTTTTTACACACTTACTTAAATTTTAAATATTGTTGAGGTAATTTGAATGATGCCAATACTATATGAATTCACTATTTTCACATGTTTTGAAAATTGTATAGCTCATAACAATTTCTCATGTTTTTCTTATGTGTGTGTTTGTTTGATTATTTTTTAATTCGTTGTTTGTTATATTTCAATGTATTTCATGAGGGTGTCAGGGAAGATTAGTTTTGTAGCGAACTGTGTAACCCTCTTTAAATAAATTATTATTATTATTATTATTATTATTATTATTATTATTATTATTGCTTTCAATTTGAGGAGCAACAGAGGTTTTAATTGGCATTACACCATAAGGTGCACCAACTCGGGTCATAGATACATTTAAACTACTTGCTTAAGACCATTGGGGTCAACTTTCTTCCAATACAATTATGTTGAACAATAGAGTTGTCACACAATGAATAAATCCTTAAAACTAAAGATAAAAAAAAGTTCAATAGTTCCATATTCTGTCTATAAAACATCACAAAAGGAGGATTGTTACAGAAAATGATTTTTACGTGAAGATAGGTATATTTTTCTTCTGAAAAGGAATCAGACTTTCCAGCCAAAATATTAAAAGTTTCTCTTTTTATAAATATACGCATAGGAACCTTTCTACATTTTCGATTATCTTATTCAATTCTTTTTGAGCTAGCTAAATTTTCTTTGAAAGAAGTGAAACTTTAGACGACATAGAAATTCTTGGTTGTCTCTCGTTGGATGACAAATTTAAAAAATGTTTGCATACTACCCAATTTAATTCGATAGTCGCTCTCACCTGAGTGTAACATGTTTAACTTTAATGAAATTTTAACTTTTGAAGAAAGTTTTTTATGTGATATTTTCTTTAAATTCATTTTTTTTCTTTCTTCATCAACAATTTAATGATGATAAGAATAGTCTTTCAAATTTAAGTAACGATAAAATGTATAATGTACTATAACAAAGATTATAGGACCCCCTATTTTCACTGTCTTCCGCTCTCAAAATCCTAGGAGAAATACTGCTAAATTTAAAGAAATTCAAAACGTGATATACATTTAAAAGAAAGGAGATACAAAAAATGTCGAAGACAGAAGATATAAAGGCGGCAATAAAAAACAGAGGTCGAAGAAAGAAGATAACATGCGGTTATCGAAAACCATTAGTCGGAAAACGACTGACATCACGAGTCAGTTAACCGTTATGGAATACCTATAACACAGATGACGACAGATATGTCTTAATTGTCTCAAAAAGATACATATATACTACTTGCTTAAGACCATTGGGGTCAACTTTCTTCCAATACAGTTATGTTGAACAATAGAGGTCTCACACAATAAACAATAAATCCTTAAAAGTTCAATAGTTCCATATTCTGTATAAAACATCACAAAAGGAGGATTGTTACAGAAAATGATTTTTACGTGAAGATAGGTATAAAAAATTATTTTCTTCTGAAAAGGAATCAGACTATCCAGCCAAAATATTAAAAGTTTCTCTTTTTATCAATATACCCATAGGAACATTTCTACATTTTCGATTATCTTATTCAATTCTTTTTGAGCTAGCTAAATTTTCTTTGAAAGAAGTGAAACTTTAGACGACACAGAAATTCTTGGTTGTCTCTCTTTGGATGACAAATTTTTAAATATTTGCCTACTATTCAATTTAATTCGATTGTCGCTCTCACCTGAATGTAAAGAGGTTTTTAACTTTAATGAAATTTTTACTATTGAAGAATTTTTTTTATGTGATATTTTCTTTCAATTCCTTTTCTTTCTTTCTTTATCAACAATTTTAAAGATGATAAGAATAGTCTTTCAAATTTAAATAACGATAAAATGTATAATGTACTATAACAAAGATTATAGGACCCCCTATTTTCACTGTCTTCTGCTCTCAAAATCCTAGAAGAAAAACTGCTAAATTTAAAGAAATTCAAAACGTGATATACATTTAAAAGAAAGGAGATACAATAAATGTCGAAGACAGAAGATATAAAGGCGTCAATAAAAAACAGAGGTCGAAGAAAGAAGATAACATGCGGTTATCGAAAACCATTAGTCGGAAAACGACTGACATCACGAGTTGGTTAACCGTTATGGAATATCTATTTCACAGATGACGACAGATATGTCTCAATTGTCGTAACTACAATCCCGTCCTCTTCTCCTCGAATGTGACCGTCCAAATTGGACTTATTACCGGGTTTATAAAATTGAGAATGGAAATGGGGAATGTGTCAAAGAGACAACAACCCGACCACAGAACAGACAACAGCAGAAGGCCACCAACAGGTCTTCAATGCAGCGAGAAATTCCCGCACCCGGAGGCGTCCTTCAGCTGGCCCCTAAACAAATATATATACTAGTTCAGTGATAATGAACGCCATACTAAACTCCAAATTGTACACAAGAAACTAAAATTAAAAATAATACAAGACTAACAAAGGCTAGAGGCTCCTGACTTGGGACAGGCGCAAAAATGCGGCGGGGTTAAACTTATATGAGTAACACGACGGGTGCCATATGTTGAGAAGTCTTTACCTTTCCAAAGTACATGAGATCAACCCCGGTTTTGATGGGGTTCGTGTTGATTAGTCTTCCATTTTCTATGTTGTGTTTTGTATACTGTTGTTTGACTTTTGGTCTTTTTTTTTCGTTTTTTTTTTGTCATATCGTTGTCAGTTTATTTTCGATTTATTAGTTTGAAAGTCCGTTTAGGTATCTTTCGCCTCTCTTTTACAGAGAGTGCCATGACCAAAAGAAAGAAAAAACGAGAAGAAAGTCAACAGTTCTAAAAGTATTCTCTCCTTATTGACAAATTGGACTTTTATGATTTATACTTTATATGATGACTTTTATGTATGTTCTAATGTACTGTATCTAATTAACATAATCAGAGTCGAGCGGAGTGAGAAAGATTGGTATGAAAGTGTGAATGATCGTGTTAAATTTTGTAATGCCCGAAAGAGCCCTGTGATTAGGAAATGAAGAATTTGAATTTGAATTTTGAAAACGCTCAGCAACAAAAAACTAATCATAGGGTAACACTAAATCCACCAAGGATAAGTCGAAGATATTTTACGAATTCCAAAAATACAGAAACAAATACAGACAAACTTGATATTAACTCATTTCGAATTTCAGAAAATGCCGTTTTGTTTTTGCATTTACCATATGCCAAGGAAAATTAAAAACAGTTAAACATATATATTCAGTTGATATTTTATAATGTGTCTTTCTATGTTGTGATGTTACACTATTGTTTCAGAAAAAGGGTGAAGGTTTGTTTCCATTAAAACGTTTAAACCAGCTGCATTTGTTTGCACCTGTCCTAAGTCAGGAATCTGATGTTCAGTAGTTGTCGTTTGTTGATGTGGTTCATAAGTGTTTCTCGTTTCTCGTTTTTTATAGATTAGACCGTTGGTTTTCCCGTTTGAATGGTTTTACACTAGTAATTTTTGGGGCCCTTTATAGCTTACTGTTCGGTGTGAGCCAAGGCTCCGTGTTGAAGACCGTACTGTGACCTATAATGGTTTACTTTTATACATTTTGACTTGGATGGAGAGTTGTCTCATTGGCACTCATACCACATCTTCTTATATCTATATATAGCAATAAACTTTTTTTTCTACTAAAAATAAAAGATCAGCCACTGAAAATCAACGATGGATATACATTGTATTATATATGTGTACTGTGTACGCAAAAAGATCCCAAAATATTATAGTCTAAAAAACTAAGTATTCGTATATGATATACATACATGTATCTACAAATACTTGATTGTGATTGGTCCGTTCGAATTTTTTCCTTGGTTTACTCTTATAATGACTGAAGCTTACTGCAGTGAACATAAAGAGGTGCGTAAATAATTCAAACTATACGGTGGGCTTCAAGTGTGAACAAGCCAAAAATTATGATTAACAATAAAAATATTCGAACGAGACAAAAATAATTATATGTTATGATAGTCAAAATAGTAAAAAAAAGGATTCAAAACAAAAGATACAAAACAAATATAATTCGAAAATATTTACTCCGAAAAATAACTAATACGAAAATCGTCGTATTAATTTTGTTGTTTACATATGGACATGAAACCATTTTTTTTTAATAATTAATGTGAATACAAATGAGCAATGACAAGCAGTGATGAAAATGCAACATCATATATTTATGATATTGTTTATGTTACTGAAGCCACGACCTCTTAATTCATCCATCCCCTAAAGCTACTGTAAAACACTGTAACTTTGCATGTGGTACAAGATACGTTTACTATGTCGCTGTCATTTTGATATTTTTCATTATCTTAACATCTTGTCCTTATAAGTGTAAAAAGTAGTTCCGTGACGCAAAAACAGCTTTACTAATAAATACTTTAGTTGCAACATCCGTCAATTTAGACACTTTAATTTATTTAAAAGTTTAATTCGTTGTTTTAATTCAGGATGTTTATGTTACTTGATTAAAAAACTTTCGATGTATCGGAGTGTTCCGAACGGACAATAAAATTGATACGATGTTAACAAGAAATTTATTAGGGATTGTACTTTTATATTGTCTGTGTCATGTTTGTGTAATTGCAGGTAAGTGTTATTTTCAATATTAAATCATCTTTTTTGTAGTATGTGTATAAATGAGGGTTTGGATGGGGGTTCTTGATTTCTGTATTTTTTTAGTTTTCATACTATTTTTCTCTCTTCTTTATAAATTTTGCCTGTTATTCTTTATTCATTATGTTTTAGCACCCCGTTATTCTCTATCTTGTTTTTTTTTTTTTTGCCTCTTTTTTTCCATTCTGTATTTTTTTACCCATTTTCTATAGTGTTTGCCCATTATTTTCTATCCTAAACCCCATCAAGACCCTCATAAATTGAACACCGGAAATAAAGCAACCATATACGAAACGAATGCTATCATTTACCATATTCTTGAACATCTCCTCATACGAAACCATTGTTTAGCCTTGTTTCTTTGTATTTTCGAATATACCCCAAGCATTGGTCACTTGGCGTAACGAGTTTTTTCCCCCAGAAATATCAATATACTTAATTATGCTTTTGTTATATGGTAATATGGTGCTTGTAATATTGGTCGATCAACACTCAGAAACCACAAATCTGCTTTTTTCAAAGTTCATGTTTTAAATTCCAGTAATGCAATAAAACTATATACAATGTAAGATATTTTTAGAAAAAAAATTTAAAAAAAGGTTACTATCTTTTTAATTATGGTTGGGTTTCTGTCTAATTGACGTATAGTATACCGTTCATCTCCTTTAATATATAGACAATCTAAATAGTATAAGCTATCACAAACGATGGTGATACATAATGCTATTTCGCTTACTGGTATTAAGATTCATTTAAACTAAAATTTAGAAAAAAAATAAAGTTTGACGACCGCGCTATTTCAACGACCAGCCAGCCATCCCGTCGCAATAACTGTAATGACGTATAATCTGCCTATTTCATAAATATCTATATAAAGTGTCCGTCATACCCGCGCTTGAGCGGGTAACTTTCAAGTATATAAAAAGTTATTATAAATTGATTCTGAATATGTTATTCTTTTCTGTTCGGTTCAGAAACTGACAGAAATGCTCGCTAAGTAGTTTTATCCTGACGAGTATAAATGAAAATGTACATGTATGTAAGGCTTTCTGATGCGATGTTTTACTTTAGAATAGAGGTTTTCGTGTGAAATTTATGAATACATGGACAAGACGCGAGCGACATGACGACCTTCGTCGTACCATCTTAAACACATTTTTCAGGAAACATTAGATATAGATATCAAACATAAAAGCGCATACTAAGGCCAAACAAAAATGTATGTGTTTTCAGGGTTTCCTCCATAAGAAAAATACGGTAGGTAAATAGGAAACATTTTTATGATGCTCATTTTTTTACCTTGAGTATATGATATGGATAGCTGCAAATTTGTCATGATTCATCACCAATTATGCCAATAGAATTTTTGGGATAGGCAATTTTTCCCACACAGCTAGTGAATGTATACAGTATGGATTTTACTTATTGTTGAAGGCCGTACGGTGACCAATAGTTGCCTTCATCCACGTGATTTGGACTCTTTGGAGTAGTTGTTTCGTTGGCAACCATACCATATTTCCTTATTTCTATATATACAGGTAGGGTAACCATAAACACATTTTTTTTTATCTTGGCCTAATATGTTTGTCCATTTCACTTTTTTCATCCTTAAAAATGTTTGTAGTTATCATAAATATTTGTTAACCTCAAACGAATCTTTCTTAGCACCAGTTGGTAAAAAGCTTAACCCCTCTTGTTGAGTTACAAATGTAGTTGTATTATGTGTCGTCGATTGACCTTTGTCCCATATCGACATACATATGTACAATAAATATAGGAATTTACGCTTTAAAGTATTTTTGTAGTAGAAATATGCCCTAGGGTGTTGAATTTGTCATGCGTAGTGATCTAACGGACTGATGGACAGGATTAAATTCATTCTAGAATGGGAGGAAATTCTGTATTTCTGGAGACTGCTTATATCAGATTTTTTTTCTAGAATTTCAGTTGCGTTTTAATAACGTGGATAATTTCAATTATATATTACTTTGCATTTATGTCTATACTTAATATACATTTTTTAAAAGGTCATGCAACACAAAATGTAAAATACAAATATACAAACACGTGACCATAATAAAACTTTGAAAACTAATTAAAGAACGAGCACCATTAATCCTAGGTGAATTAGGCAAATTATTCTTAGACTAGCTCCATTTTAGCACCCATCGTTTTGCTTATGAAAATAAATACAAATGCATCAGGATATAATTCGTATATAAGTGGTAGGTCAGGAACGAAGAAAAAAGGACGAGATTTATAGCTTCGAATAAAATGGATCATGTCTGTGGTCATCTGGGGAATAGTTTAGAGGTAATGTTCGATCAAATTATCATTCCATCTGTAAAATATTCGAAGAGATGTTTTTAACTTTACCAATAATTATCCATAATTCGGTAGATTAATTGTCAAATACGGAAAGAAACACTGTTGGTTGTGACGACCTTTAGAACTTCGCATCAAATGGGAGATATGCAGTTGCAACTGCAAGTTCCCTGCATAAAAGTGGAAAACGAGAATGTTGAAGTCTCATCACTAGTCGTAAAGTTTTGTTTTCAGATGTCGGATTTCTTGCTGTAAGTCAATAGACGAGACAGTGGTCTCGATCGTATCTGATGTGACTCTTAATAAAAAAATCTCATCATTAGTCGTAAAGTTATGTTTTCAGATGTCGGTTTTCTTGCTGTAAGTCTATAGACGAGACAGTGGTCTCGAGCGTATCTGATGTGACTCTTAAAAAAAAAGTCTCATCATTAGTCGTAAAGTTATGTTTATTAAATATCGTTTTCTTGCTGTAAGTCAATAGACGAGGCATTGGTCTCGAGCGTATCTGATGTGACTCTTAAACAAAAAGTGAATACTCAATTCATTTCGTATTGCAATATTTTAGATTTTCAATTATTTAAATATTATTTGATTGTTCACTTTATATTTATATACCATGCAATTGCAAAACCAGGGTTGCAACACACCGGTATAAGATGTCCTAACATGATTGTGGTTGTTTGTTTATACCCTTTTTGGTTTTGATGCTATAATTTAAATGTTATGTATTTTTCTTCCAAAACTTGAGGGTCCATGGGGAAGGATGTTTCATAATTACGTGCAGAATTAGATACCGTACATTTATATTGTCTTGAAATATATTTATATGTTTCTTATAACAAAACTGTCCAAAAATGTCTATTTAACATGTCATAAACAATTGTACTGTTATATTTATAGATATGCATATATGTCTACAAATGTATATTTATTGTTATATCAAATTAAGCGCGAGGTATGACATAATACCGATACTAAACACAAAACCTGGTTTGACCTTTTTACTCGTACACATCTGCACATGTCGCGTATTTCAACAGTGGATGTTGCGGACAAACTTATTTTGACCTACCTAATTGAAAAGACATTTAGCTTATATTGTTTTATCATGGTTTGTGTCTGGTTAATGTCATGTACGCAGTATACACATATTTTCATAAATAATCTTACCTGAATAATGGTTCCATTGTATCTGTAAATAATTGAAAATTCGCAACATCGACTCTATGTCTAGATTTAAGAAAGAATTGAAAAAATAGTCTTCAGACTAAAGTTGTAACGTATTATCTATACGGTCCATGGAAACTGAATATTATTTAACTCAAGTGCGATTTCTGCTTTGTTCTTAAACTCTGACCTTTTCAAAGCTAACATTATACTGGATCATTCTTATCGGTGTAGGTCAAATAATGAGGATGTTCATCGTTTCGCCTTCGTTTGCCCGAAATACACTACATGTAGTGAAACTTTACTCAACAATCTTAATTGGCTTTTCGAACTAATTGTTTTCGATTCTAATCTGTTAACTTGTGGAGACTTTTAACTATCAAATGAAAACAAATCTGATAATTTTCAAACATGTCCATGATTTTATCACAAGTTCAAAAAGATTGCTTGTACCTTCATAAAGTGGCATTGACACTGACATGAACCAACACATTCGTCTATATCACCGACAAAACCTATGTCATCATCACAGAATAATAGGATTTCTCAATCTTAATAAAAAATTTAACAATAGACCTTTTTTTTTCTTCTTTATTCACTTTTTTTTCTTGTTACAAATTTTCAATCTCAGGATATGAAACAAAAAGGATCTCCTTCGTCAGGCCAAAACCTCAAGTTTTCGAACAAATATTGACAAGTTTTATGCCAATATATATATTTTATTTTTATATTCAGGGGTGGCGCCTCTCTTAAGAAAAAGGTTGCCTGTCCAATTTGTGATGCCCTTAATTCCAATCTTTCCATATAGTACAGCATTTTTCACTTTATAAAGATTAAGTAATGAAATGAAAAATTGAGTAAAAACGATAAAATAACTGGCTATATGTGGTAGCATAATTCGGGTAGTTAAAAACCCAAAACCTGTGCCATCTTTTTGATTTGCCATCTACAGTATCTCTGCAGATATAATGAAATATCATATATTTACATTTTCTAGGACACAGTCATGTAATACAATTTTCTCGAATATAGGTCATCGTTTTTGGTTTACTGGTGTTTTTTTTTTATGTTTTTTTTATGTATATACATATTTCACTTAAAGGAGACTGTCGAAAAGGAATGTAAATTGAACATGTCATGAATAAGTTATTGTATGGTTTGTAGTCGCCTAAATATTCACTAGTGTCTTAAAAGATCAACCAATCAGGTATCGATAATCTGGAATTGACGATACTGCACAGACATGAACACATTATTGTGCAACGATATGTATGTTGTATATACAAGTTTTAATATTGTAAAAGTTATAATGTGTACCCACTTTTGTAAAAGTGATTATGATTTTGACAATTGAATATTTTTCACCAGTTTATCTTTAATAATATACAAGCTTGATGATTTACTCAAACATTTATAAATACAACCTTACATTAAGACCAATCCTACTATTGAGTAAAGTTGCAAATAAAAACATTAGATTCGGATAGATTATATCCATATGATTTTGGTTATACACGATTTTAAGTCCACAAAATATTTCAAAACGTTCCTACTTTTTATCGGTGCTATGTATGGATCACATTGACCTATAATTGTTTACTTTTTACACATTGTGACTTGGATGGATAGTTGCCTCATTGGCACTCATACCACATCTTCTTATTTATATCAGTAATACGCTAAATCCTAGAAAATGCGCTTATTTTTCGCTATAGATAAAAGTTCTGTAAAACACTGATAACTTGTACAAAGTTCTGTACCAAAATGCAAATTGTATATAGCATATATATATAAAAGTACATTTTGACATCGCCGATAAATTGAAAACAAATTGCCTGTCTTCAATAAAGACATATTTTACACAAATGTACTAGACTAAGTAAATAAAAAAAAGAAGATATATATTGGGGCTAATCTAACTCTGTAAATTCATGGAATATTATCCTCTACTTAATGAAATATAGGAAATATCAAACAACAAATGCGGAACAGTGCTACAGCATAACACTAGTCTAGCATTACAAAAGAGAGGCTAAAGATACCAAAGGGACATTCAAACTGATTGGTCGTTAAAAACATCTGACAAAGCCATAGCAAACACCGAAAAACTATCATAAGACAAGCAGCAGTACACAAAACACAACACGATAGGAAACCAATGACTGACCAACACTAACTGCACCAAAACCCGGGTGTTATCTCAGGTGCTCCGGAAGGGTAAGCAGATCTTGCTTCATATGTGGCACCCGTTTAGTCTTTGAAAATAACATCCACATAAATTTGCATGTTTAACATTATAAAATAATAAAAGCTCTCAATAATAAGATAATTGTTGAAATGAGTAATAGTATGCAAGAATAAAATTACAATCACTGATAATACTTGTAGATCCAAGATGTCCACTGCATTGGATTAAGATTGGCACACACTGCTATCGTACCAGATATAATTATGCTATAAAGACTTGGGAAGATGGTCGACGCTGGTGCCAAACACAAGATGCAGATTTAGCCAAATTTGACAGCGTTGAACAACAGGTTATTTTCATTCTCTCTGTACTATTTATTATTTATTTTGCGTTTTATTGAGGGTGTTGTCTTTTTTGTGTCATTTTTTCCAGGATAAATCCTCTTGTTAATCTGTCTGGTTTTTTTTTCTCATTTTGAGTAGATTGCTTTAAAGATCTTTCATAAAATTATGTTGAACAGACGTCTGTGTAGTTTGATTCTAAAGTTCGTGGGTACTTTTGCTCATGCAGTGCAGTTAAAATTGACTAATTGATTGTATGTTCCATCCTGTTGAATATCACTATTTTCTATAATAAGACTTAAGTTCCGCGTATGTAATTGTCTCGTCCTCTGGTTTATGGTGGAAGTTGACTCATTGGCAATAAAACCACATTCCTATCGAATTAATTGCAGTTGTTCTTACCGAGTTCACGGAAATTTGAGATGTTCCTCCAAGTGACCAATATTGGACATTTTGCTACCTATTGGCCTGTTTCCCTAACCTTTTGGTAATACCAATCTCTGTTATTGTTCAGTATACGGAGTGTTCATTGATAAAGTAAAACAAAATTGCATCTCAAATCTGTTGTTCAGTATCAGGTGTTCATTGGTAAAGTAAAGGAGTTGCATCTGAAATCAGTTGTAATCTTCATGAATACCAACTTTTCGTTCACTAACAACACATGTCATAACTTGTTTTCATACAGTTATCTGAAATCAAGTAAGTTTTCAATGATATGTTTCTTAATATATGTTGTTATATTTATCTAGAACTCAAAATTTAAGATATTTTTTACATTCATGTAAGATACACGAATGAACATCTATATTTATGAAATGTCACCTACATGACTTGGCCAGTGACCCTTAGGGTAATCTACTTATTTGATGTGACGTGGGTGTTGTAATAATATATATCTACACTTAAAGATAATCATGTAAATTTCTTCTTTCACTTTTATTAAATTTAGTATTATGTGTATATAACGTGTCTAACGTTTATTTTAACCATTTTGTGATGCATTTTTTATTTTTACTTGGAAATTGATAAATTTGTAAAAAAGAGTTTTAAAAGCTTAGTGTAAACAATATTTTACTATGATTTATGTAAACCAACTAATTTTTGCGAACGATTTATTTTCGCGATTTTCGCGAGTAGAAAAATAACGCGAATATAAGTCGTCGCGAATATGTAAAACTTAGATCTTTCCATATTTAAATACAAGTAAATTAGAAAGTCGCGAAATTAAATCGCCACGAAGTGGAATAAAAAGGACTAAACGCGAAATAAAGTATCCGCGAAAATAAGTTGGTTTACAGTATACAAATTACAATATAAATTCACATTCACAAATAGGATTCAGAAACAAGCAACAAGTGCTTATGTTAATCTGTTTCCTTGTTAAATTGGATACAATAAACGCAAATAAATCAAAACTACATGCTGTGTTACATAATGAAACTGTTGATAATTTTAAAAAGCTTGACACAATGATGCAAAATTTTCTGTTAAACCATGCTCTACATATCCACCACCAAACTTTCAGGAAATTATAGAAGTATTAAATTATCAAACAAAAATTATCCAGAATTGAGTTATGAAAATGAAAAATGTAATTATAATTATTAATCAGACACAATTATAATGGTGCAATTGAAACATGTAATGCCTGTGAAAAAATTAGAATACATTTGACAATAAGACATTTATCAATATTCGCAAAACTCTGTCAAAACTGAAAATCACTCTTCATCCTTTTCCCGACCAAACTGACTCGCTCCTATGATAATAAAATAATTCAAATAGTATACATAAAAGCTATCAAAACTATACAACTGTTAAAATATCTTTATTAAAGCATTCTTGCATGTGGTATTAGTTTTAAACAGCCAGACCAAGTTTCATAATGATGGTTATGATGCTACTTTGAAATGTTGTCCTTCTTTTCTTATCTTTTCCTTCTCAAGTAGTGTGATTTGTTTTAAAGAAAAAGGCAATTATCGAGAAATAAAAAAAATTAATTGTGTGTCATTGTCATTCCCACATTTCAGGTTACGATCTCCTCTGATCATTTGTAAGCCCCTTCTATGCATCTTGTACCCGAACAACACAAAAGAAAACTGTAAAATATCGTTTCATCTCGGCTTCTAGTAAATGTTATACAACTAATATGTTTGTCCATTTTACTAGTTCCCTGACTACAAAATAAGAAAATTATTAAATTTGGTAACAAAGCACATGAAAATAATTGACTTGATTATTTTTATGAGTGAAGAAGACTCTATGGAAGAATGTTTCAGAAAAATTACGTGCTTTTGATGGACCTTTCAATTCGGTTGTCAGCTATGGCTTTTCAACTTTATACACTACACAGTCACAGAATCTTATCAAGCGGAAGTTTTCTAATCAAATGGTCCTTTCAAAAATTTAAACGCAAATTTATTTGCGGCAACTCATAAAAAGACTTCTTTTGTATTGAAAAAAGTAATACTCACTGGAACTGTGATGACAAGATTAAAACTGTTTTAATGTTCTCCTTGACACTATCTATGTTTTGCAATAAATTTAATCAACAGGTTGTAGGTATTCATATGTGTATTAATTGCAGACTATTTGTACTTGCTTTTAGAAATTGCGAGTACTCTTAGATTTGTACTTTTGTATCCTTTGACTTTCCAACTGTTAGTACTTTGATCATACGATGTGCTGTTACACCATTGTGCCTGGTTATGCGGAGGGTGAAGCGTGTACACATTTTTATGAGCATGTCCCACGTCAGGAGCCTGTAACCCAGTAGTTGTCGTTGGTGTCTGTCTGTCATAATTGGCTTTTCGTTTATTATATAAGCATTGATCAAACTTTTAGTTTTCTCGATTTGAATCGTTTATCAATTTACCGGGGTTTATAGCTGACCATACGGTAAGGGGTTTCTTTTTTGTTGAATACCGTATAGTGACCCGCAATTGTTTGCATCCTCGTCCTCCGGTCTGTGTTTGATTGGTGTCTCATTAGCAATCCAACCGCAAATGTAAAAGACTACTTACGAAAACAAGCTTAACATTTTTGTCTGACAGAACAGACGAACAAGTCCCATACGCATTTACTACACTACGATTAGATATGCACTGTTATTTTAAAGCTATGTCATTTTTCAACAAAATTGTGCGAAATGTCATTGATTTAGTTTTTATATTATAGGATGAAGTGAAAAACTATGATGGATTATTAGCTATGGGAGTATCGTTTTGGGTTGGATTACATCTTGTTGGAGAGGACTGGAAATGGGCCGATAACTCAACTGTTGATAGCCTTGTTCGGTAAGTACCTACTGCACTTTTCTTGAATGACTAACTAGATCAGCTATGAAAGCATGATTATACGGCTGATATTGACGTAACATTAATTTTACATCAATATCATTAGGAAAGCATTTGTTAAAAGTATTGATATCCGTGATGAAGCAGAACTAGTTCTGACAACAAGGTCGGAGGAAAAGAATTAGTATCCGTGATGACGAAGTAATAGTTTTGACAACAAGGTCAGAGGAAAAGAATCGGTATCCATGATGAAGCAGAATTAGTTTTAACATCAAGGTCAGAAGAAAAGCTTTGGTATCCGTGATGAAGCAGACCAACAGTTACTTCTGACATCAAAATCATAAGGAAAACATTGGTATCCTTGATGAACAGAATTAGTTCTAACATCAAGGTCATAAAGGAAAGCACGGGTATCCGTGTTGAAGCAGAACAACTTATGACACCAAAATCACAAAGAAAGCATTGCTATCCGTGATGAAGCAAAATTAGTTCTAACATCCAGATCAGAAGGAAAGCACTGGTATCCGTGATAAAGCAGAACAACGTATGACATCAAAATCTTGAGGAAAGCATTGGTATTCGTAATGATGCAGAATTAGTTCTGACAACAAGGTCATAAGGAAATCATTGGTATTCGTGATGGTGCAGAATTAGTTCTAACATCAAGGTCACAAGGAAAGCATTGGTATTCGTATTGAAGCAGAATTAGTTCTTACATCAAGGTCACAAGGAAAGTATTGGTATCCGTCATTAGGCAGAATTAGTTTTAACATCAAGGACACACATGATATCCGTGGTGAAGCAGAGCACTTTATGACATCAAAATCATAAGTAAAGCATCGATATCCGTGATGAAGCAGAAAAACTTGTGTCATCAAAGTCGTAAGAAAAGCATTGGTTTTCGTGATGAAGCAGAATTAGTTCTAACATCAAGGTCAGAAGGAAAACGTTGGTATCCGTGATGAAGCAGAATTACAAAACGTAATTTTGACAACAAGACTATAAAAGAAGCATCAATATTGACATTGATGCAGAATCATCTATATGTTTATATTATTTTGGGTCGCTCGAGCATATTTTTATCCCTTAAATCGGATAACAATTGATATTCTTCGAGTTCGTATTTTGAATTTAATTCAAACATGGAAGGTAAACGGGACAATAAACCGTTAATTGAAGAAAGACAGATGACACCAAAAAGAAACAGTGACGAATAGACAAGCAACATTCCACAAAACATCAAAGAAAACTATAAAACTCTAGTAGTAGCAAGAACCCAACATCAACCAGCAGTGAACTCATGTGCTCCGAGAAAAATAACTACTACGTTTTTCAGTCATTACAATAAGTACTGGTTTTAAAGGAAAATAACCTTTCTTTTATGTAGAGTCTATAGTGGTCAATATCTAAACGATTGTATAAACTATTATAAATAATTGCTTTTTTATCTGAGGCTATTTACAAAGTACACTTCAACGTTACAGCAGGGACTGGAAAGGTAATGACTATTTATCATGACTGTTTTAAATTAAACAGGTTAATGTACTCTCGATGTTTTACCTTAAAAAAAACTGAAAAGCTACTTCCACCAAACAAATTGACTTCCATGTAGCTAGAAATCTGTATTTGCAGTCAAATGATGTATTTTGTCTATACATTTTCAGTACTGGAATTGATTAGTTGTACTAATATTTCCTTAGATGTATTTTTCAAAACCTTTCGAAATTTGGTCTTCAATGCTCTTCAACTTTATTTGGCCTTTTTTACTTTTTTTATTCTGGCGTCATTTATGAGTCTTTTGTAGACGAAACGCGCATCTGACGTAATTTGTTTTTAATTCTGGTATCTCTGATGAGATTTTTTAGGTCGCTACTGCCGGAGGCAATGATAGCCAATTGTAAATTGTATCAATGTTTAACTATTTCGCTTATTTATCAGTGGTAGTTTTCAGGTCAGTTCCGACCTGATTGGTAGCTTTCATTATAATAATGTTTTTATTCTCATTAATAAACCAATTTTGATCTGAAACGGTCATTTTAATCTGAACAGCTCTTTAAAACTGAACCATCGTGTTGTCTTAGTAGTACTTAATATACCGATTTGGATAAGTTTGAAATTTGACTGATAGGCTAAACATGAATTAATAATATATTGATCAGGCTTTTCAGATAATGTTCAGTTCAAAATTACCATTTCAGACGAAAATTTATTTACTAGTTTCATATATTTTATACTTTTTGTTTCAGTATGCGTGCTAATAAAATTTTGATAGGAGGATATAATTGCATAAAGCTTGATAATAGAAATGGAATGCTGGTTGCCAAATGTCATACAAAAAGAGGTGTACTGTGTCAGCGCCGAGCTGGTAAGAATTTGACGCAGAAATGTATATTATACTTTAACATATTTGATAAAAAATAAATTAAACCCATGGTCATTTTCAAAGACCAGACAGAAATAAGTTTGTCATATTAATGAATTTTTCGATCTAATTTGAGGTATAAATACTGGGGAAAATTCTTTAGAGTCCAAACAATTGCTGTATATGAATATTTAATGTGATGAGAAGAGCACACAATTTTGAATTTTTAAATTCTATGCTAGCAGTTCTCTACTTTAAATATGCATCCTGCTTCCTTTTTAAACTTCTTCCAAATTGGAAACAAATCTTAAGCAAGCAAGCACATACCCTCCCCGCAATATAAATTGGAATATCTTTAAGTAACCTGCTATTGTATTATTCTGTTTACTCTTAGGTGTGAATTTTTCTGTTATCATCTCAGAGGGTAATATTGTGTAATATAAAGTTATGTACATTTGTTATCAAGTAGTCGGTATAGTTCAAACGTCAAATGGTACACTATTAGGGACCAGGCATTTTTTCTCTGAAATGAGAAAATTGTACTGAAACAGCACGATTGAAGCTATCCCATAAGATACGATGATAATCTTCAACCGAAACAGCAAACTCCGTACATTGGTCGTTTCCGTTCAAGAACTATTTTCCATTAATTTAGAGTAGTATGCAGATCGGAGCTGGAACTACAATGGAGTTTGCTGAAACCAAGGCGATTACATGCTATCGTGTAATTTTTACGGGAATTATAACAATTTGAATATGTACACAAACTAGTCGTTTTATATGTCGTTCGTTCAAGCTAACGTTTTTTTATAACAGAAAATAAATACATCACAAGAAGATTTAATTCGTTTAATATCTATTTATCCTGTTTTAGGAAAACAGATCAGATGTAATTCAGCGGAAGATTGGCAATCATATGGCAACAAATGTTATAAAGTAACTGGCCATGAACAGAAAGGAAGTTGGAAGCAGGCAAAGTAAGACATGCATGTTTTATAGTCCTTTTGGTCATATAGCTCTTTAACTGTTTCAGTTTTTATATATCCTTGGCTTTCAAGTATTCTGCTTTGGATGTTCCTGATAATGGTATATCCAGAAAAGCGGTTTGAAATTTATAAAAAAAAAGATGTTTTCATTGTTTATGCACAAACGTTAATCAAAAACAAGATAGTGTGCCCGATTCATAGTTTATATAAATTGCTATTAGAAAAAAAACCACATTAACGTTCTGTTTATATTATTTATTAAGGTTCCTTCAAATTACAGTTCGACTTTGGCAAGTTATTGCCGTATTTATGTTTATTAGCGTCACTGATTTATAATTTATTTTAATGTTAGTTTTATTAATTTTGAAAATTCTCCATTAAGTTTAGTGATAACATTACGTGACAATTAAAAAAAATGCTTAGTTAAAATGTGCAGTTAACAACATATCTATTTGATAATGATGTTATGTTTGGCTTTGGATGATGGACCATACAATCAAATTAGAATTGTCTACACACCAACAACAGATTAATAGTTGTTCTAATTAATAAATAATTCACTGGGGCTTGAGTTTATTGTGATTTTACCACGGGTTGGCCCTTTATGTAGAATATTTAAATATAATCATAAAGGAACAACCCGTGGTAAAATCAATATGAATTCAAGCCCCCATGAATTATTTCTATTCTTTTAGGACAAAAACAGCAATTTATTTGTTTCGAAGCGTTCTAGGTGAACGGAAATGTTTACTGTTCACGTAGTTGAACACAATATTAATATTGACGTAAAATACGAAGAAAACTGAATAAGGGACATGCTTTAATGATTTACAATAACATACTAAGATAGGTTTGTACGAAATTTATAGATTATCTTACTTTTATTCAAGAAAGTGGGCTTTCAACAAATTCTTATCATTGTTTGTGTATGTTTTCATTTTTGACGACTTTCAGTTTCAAAATCGTGCATTTTCCCGTAGAATGCTTATATTATTGCGTCATCGTTCAATGACGTCATTTACACCGTCAGACCTCAGGTTATTCATTCATAAAAAGCAAACGACGAGGGAGTAAGATTGGTACAGCCCAAACAATCCATGACGTTGACGATCAGCTGACATATCAATATATTCATATTTTACCACGGGTGTGCACTCGAAGCGTTTGAAGATCGTCATATTAAAATAAGACAATTAATTAAAGAACATGTTACAAATATATGACTGAAAGCCTGTTTCACTATTTTGTTTCTACATATAATTATAGGATAACAAATATTTTATGGTGCACATACCACATAAGCAAACTTAAACTTATGCACTGAGGACACCATTTATTATTATACTTATGGTAGGTGTAATTGGCACAGTCTGACCTACGGCATGAAATATAAGTAAAATTATTATTGGTTTTCAAATCAATTGTACAATTCTAAGAAAGGTAGTTTTGTTTTATACAAGAGAGGCGAAATATACCAAAGGGGCATTCAAACTCATAAGTCGAAAATAAAGTGACAACGACGTGGCAAAACAATGATAAAGACCAACAACAACAAAAAACAACAATTTACAAAACACAACATAGAAAACGAAAAACTGATCAACACGAACCCCGTGTGTAACTATAATAACGTAAATATTAGTCGCATATTTCTTTAAGGTTGTTTTGCAATACAAAGAACGCAACTGTAGCCAGTCCTATGTCATCATCAGAACAATATGCACTGTTTGACTTCGTACAAAATAATGGACAGAAATTATGGATTGGCGTTCATAGTGTAAGTAATGTTACTGAAGCAGAATTAGACAGTTCTGTGGTATGACATGATGAACATTTCAATGAAATTATACAAATTTAAATCAGGAAAAAATGGTAAAATTTGATTCTAACAGACTGAAGCTTTTGGTTTGTTCTAGGGTGGATATTATTTTGACTTTTCAATATTATGATAAAGTTTAGTGTAGATTTGCATACTTTAATTGTAAATTCAGAAATGAATGCGGGTATTTATTATAGCGAGATTACTGGTAAAAATGCGAGATCTAATTAATTCGGTGAAGGAGAATTACTACTGGAATTATAAATGCGAGTTTTGTAAAAAATTTTCGAACCTGATACTGTTGCATTGTTTGCATAAATAAAAACTGCGTAATAAATTGTGAATTGATGGAATTTATTTTGTAGCAACAAAACCTGAATTTATTTTCATTTCCACCCTGAATCTTTTTGATAAAGACTATTACTTTAAATTTTACCTATCCTTGACTTTTTACACTATCATATTACAAATGAAATAAGAAAAAAAAAACAACTAAAATACCGAACTCCAAGGAAAATTCAAAACGGAATGTCCCTTAACAATTGGCAAAATCAAAAGCTCAAACACATCAAACGAACGGAAAACAACTGTCATATTCCTGACTTGGTACAGGCATTTCCTTATGTAAAAAATGGTGGATTAAACCTGGTTTTAAAGCTCAATTGGCACAATCTTTAGCTTGAAGCAAGGATGATGACATACACCATTATTGATACATTTTTAATAACATGATATGAAAGCTAATCAAAGATTAACCATGCTAATAATTCAGTACTCCAAACGCTTGCTTCGTTTACACAAGGCTCATCAGTAGCGCTTGAATAAACAGATGTAGGGAGAAACTACATTTCGTCAGATATAAACACAATACATCGTTTTGAGTTCAGCATATTGTCCATTGGATAGTATTTCAAAGTTTTTCAATTGTAACGTGGTCGAAGTAATGACCCTAAAATTGAATTAGACCACAATTATAAAAAACCTAACTTTTTATATTTATAATCTGAACCAAATTTGTGGAAGACTACTTTGGTTTAAGTACAATTATAATATCAACTCAACCTTATCAGAAAAAGAGAGGCGAAATATACCAAAGACTTATTCAAACTTATAAGTCGAAAACAAACTGACAATGAAATGAAAAAAAAAACCCAAAACGACGAAAAGACAAACTACAGCACACAACGCACGACATCGAAATCTTAAGAAAGACTTAACAACAACTACACAACAAATTTTTTCCTCATTGATTGGTGGTAAGTTGTGGTTTTTTAAAAATTTTATCATGATGATAACATTCATTTTTATATTTCTATTTTTTTTGGAATTCTTTAATATGATAACCACTATAAGTATTCATATTTTCAGTCTGATGACCGATTCAACAATCAGTGGATTTGGACTAATGGGTCTGTTTTAGATGAAGGATTCTGGGAAGAAACTAGTTCAGCTACTCTGTAAGGATTTTCAAATCGTACTATAGATGTTAATACGATCTAAATTTTAAAAGATGTATAATAAACGATCTTGAGTTATTTCGTAAAATGTTAAAATAAGGCAATGCGCTGCAAGTTCCAATAAAACTGGTTCACACTTTAGCTGACTAAGAAGGAAGTGATAACAGATATATCATCAATCGTATCAAATATTGACCAACTGTTTTATATTGCAGTGGAGACGTAAAAGGGAAGTAAATGAAGCGGCAACACCAGTGATTTTATAAGTAAAATGAAGAAAAAAAGAACGAGATAGGAAAAAAACACAAAACAATCAATTGCCTACAGCTTCTTTGATTGGTTACTTCTCTGTATACAATTCATACAAAGTAGTCCATTAATTCACCACTGGTCTTTTGTTTGTCACGTTTCTTTCTATTTTTAAGTTTCTTTAATCCAGTTTACTTTTACAAAATACTTTATAATACTTTTTATTATTACAGTGAATCTAAACAGCAAAATTTATGTGCATATATTAACCCCGGAAGTACAAATTGGACACGATCATGGAAAGCTGCTTCATGTGATACTAGAAATGGTAACATAATATGCGAAATGAAAGCTGGTATGTATTGCTATCTGCTAAAATATCTAGAAAAGTGATATAATAGGAAAGAACTCAGCTTAGGAGTAAATTTTGTTCACACTCACTTTTATTGTCTTTTCCTGTTTCTTCATATTGTTCCATAGGTTTCATCTCTGAAATTTAATTTCCTTTCTATCATAAAACAATTTTGTTTAGTAGAAAGTAATCTTTTTAGTAAGCGAAATATTTTTAATGAACTAGATTTATTTAACTTTTTTTATTGTGTGGTAGATACAGAACTATACCTACATGAATATTTGAATATATGTTCCCCATAATAAGGCTGTTAATCTCTTTAATATTACCTCTAGGTGTAGGCATCTTTCTTCAAAGTTATAAATAAATCACGAACCAGAAAATTCTTTTATTTTATGTTACCTTATTTTCATTAGATGATTTTATAGTCTGACGACAATCGATATAGCTGTTAAGGTTCCCCCAGTTGTTGAAGTGTGTCGATTCGTTCGTCCATCCGTTCCTTCATTGTTCGTTAGGTGCGATCGTCAGTAAATTTGTATCTTCTACCAGGCGAAAGACTGGATTTAATGAAACTTCAGCAGAATCTGTAGCATTTAATGTCATTGACCACATCATTTATTTTTTGGTCTAAATAAATTAAGGGGTTTCCCAGAGCAAATCATGGACCTTGTCCTTCGTGCAAAGGATTAGACATCGCTTATGTAAGATTCCTTTTTTTTTTTACATAAAACAATTGTTCACCTCCTGCGAGCAGTAGGCAGTACGCCATTGACTTTGCATGTCTAAACAAGTGGGAGAGAGGGAATCTGAATTGTGAGGTCAGCTATCACCTTTTTAAAATTTGTTAATATATTCCGTTAATTTTTAACCACGAATTTATTATTTGCTTAGAAGTTATTGCTTTTACAATATGAGCTATAACAAATTGTACGATAAAAAGAAAATGTCGGATATACATTTATTCTCAATTAATTATTGTTTATTATCATATGTTGATACTGCATTTTGCTTTTAAGACAAGGCAAAAGGAAATAAACTCATAGAAGTAAAACAACTTAACGGTTTGTCGCCTTAAATACACTATTCTGAGCTTGAACTTTTCTGTCTTTGACATTGCAAAGTTTCATCCTTTTATATATAAGTATATATATATATATATCTGTCAACGTATATATGTTCCGCCTCACAGAAGTTTCCCTGGAAACTGTTCAAAGTAAGTAACAATATCTGTTCCTGTTTTCTACCAATATTCTACCCCTTTATTCCGTTCAGAACAAATACTGTATTATTTGTCAGAGAGGAAACAATATTCCATCATCCATTACATTAGGAAGAAAATTCTATTTCATCACAGATCGTTAATCTTTACGAATTCTTTCATAAAAAAGTTTTTAAATACATGTATGCAGCGTCATGTTGTTTCAAAGTTAAGTTCAATGTCGACTTATTATAATGTATTAGAGATGTATTTATACGAACTGAACAGCAACACAAAAGCCGAAGGTGTCCAATAATAGATAGCTGCTGGTTATCAAAGGACCTTTTGTGAAATTCCTGGTAAGGCATGTCACTGCATTAACATAAATAGCAAGGCATACTGACTGTGATCTAATGCTATTGGTGGTTTGATAGTATTTAAATCGACTTTGAAGTTAAATAAACCTTCACTTAACTTTTGTTCTAGACAATAGGGCACTTTTTCACACTTTGACGTTTTGTTTGTTTTTACTCATTCCATTGTTTTTGTACTTTTCTTGAAACATAACAGCACGAAAATATGTATCTTCAATATTGCTCCTGTTTTTGTTCGAAAAATCTACATTTATATATATATATATACTAGTATATACAATTAATAAATTATTCTTTTATTCCTTTATTGTTAAATTAATTGCTACAGTATTATTTATTCAAAAATGCTTACATCTTCTACTCTTATTTGAAATATAGGTTACTACCTGAAATTTTATACTTAATTTTGTTTAGAAAGCAATTTAATTCATTTTATAAACGAAATAAAACCAATTATCTCTGTTAGTTTCATTGGAACAAACATATACAAATTCAAAGTTTACTCTTTTGTTTTGAGATGAAGGATGTTCGATACTTGAAATAAAAAATACCAAGTTTTAAAAAGCAGTCTTTTCAATAGAAAGTTTTTAATTGTTGTACTTCAACAAATAAAGGGGAAAATATCAATAGATGTGTGGGTTTATTTTTATGTAATATATACATATTCAAATTTAATGAGACACCAGAAATGTTATATCACAAAATTTAAAAACAAAACGACGTATACATAACCTTTATAGTTAAAAATGGTTTGCCTTTACATCATCTTGTTTTAGCAAAATGAAATAATTTATGAACTGTTCATGAATTTTAAAATAATATGTATAATTTCTCGGGGTAAAACAGTGTGTCTCGAACTCCTATGAAATCTATTGTACGGAATGATATAAAATTGTATTAATAGTACTGGCAAACAAGTTCAGTGTTTTGCACATCAAAAAAGCCTGAGGTATTAATGGTATTATAGAAAACTTGATAATTTCATATTGAAAGTTTAACATAAAGCCTTTTTTTAGTTTTCTTTGTAACTTAACTACTAATAGTCATCATTATGTGTAAAAATAAAAAAAACAAAATAACGATACTAAATCACCCAATGCATAATATCCACAGAACAATTGTACGGAAACCTTGAATACCACGCAGAAAAAAGGACATGGTATGATGCAGAGGCTGTGTGTTCCGCTAACAGAGGTTTACTAGCAACGAGGAATGAAACATTTCCATATGACAGTAATGCATGGATCGCAGGAATTATTAAGAATAATTCGTTCACAACAGGTAAACAAGATTTGTTTTAATTGTGTAATAATCGTATAAAGATAAATAATATATCGACTAAGTGTAGTATCGCTTCTTAACAGCCCTTTACAAAAATGTAATGCTGCCTTTTTAAATTTTGTATATGACTATTGCAATAAAATATTGACGCATGCAGAGCAAATATAATATCACACTTGTGTTTATTTCTATTGAACATTGCTAGGTGTATAGACAATAAAATAAGAAGTTATTTTGAAATTCAGGACAAATTATGACAAATATGTACTCAGTATTTAGAAATATTGTAACAAAAAATGTTTTGCAGACGACATCATGTGTGTTTCTGTATTAGCATTGTATATGAACAAACACCAAAAAACGGGAAAATATAAATGGCGGTTTTCATTTTATAAATTTTCTTGATAAACAAATTAAACAATATATGTAATTTATTTTTATTCAATGCTTATATTAAAAGGCAAAACTCAAATAACAGAGAATTGCAGAGAACATACTTATTTGGTTTTTTTTTAATTCACATCATTTTCAATCACAAAAAAATTGATTAAGATCATCGGTAAATTTCCTCACCGAAAATCTTGTAATACTTTTTCATGTTCGACTAAACAAAACGTCCCACTTAAAATGACTGTGACCACATGTAATATTCTGTGTAGCTGCTCCAACTACTGTGCCAACAACAAAACGTCGAACAGATAGTGACGAATTAGATGATTATGTTATTGGATCGTACGGTTGGTTGCAAACATGGATATACTTATTTCAGCGGATACAAATTTTCGTATTTGAGAAGTTTATTTTCGTAGACATTTGATTTTAAACGATTTTCTAAACCCTAAGTGGTTAAATACATGATTTACACAAATTAATAAATACTAGTAACTTATATCTTGAATTTATAAATAACAGATCATAAATTATTATTTAAGAATATTACACATATCAATAAATTTCAGTGTCTAAGACTTTAATTAATGGAATTGTATACTGCACAAATTAAGCGCTCACAAACATTTTAATCCCGCCAATTCTTGATGTGCCTGAACCAAGTCAGGAGCCTGTAGTTAAGTGGTAGTCGGTGGTCATACTTGTTTTTTTGTAAATTGTTTTGTTATAAATTAGGCCGTTAGTTTTCTCGATTGAATTGTTTCATATTTTTTTATGTCGGGACCTTTTATAGTCGACTACTAGTATACGGTATGGGTTTTTTCTCATTGTTAAAAAAAAGTTCGTACGATTGCCTATAATTGCTTACATTCACTTCATTTGAACTTGGGTGGATAGTTGTTTCATTGGCAATCATACTACATCTTCTTTATTCATAAGTATCTAATAAATAAAAAAAAATCAATTCATTGATGTGAAGAAATAGAGATGACGGGTATACGTCATTGAGGCAGTAACCAAACGGCAAAAGCACAAACAGATATCTAGAGGTCTAAATATAATCCTCAGCAATAGAAAAGAATCCCCGAACAACACAAAAATATCCAAATAACCTAAATATAAAGATATGAAATAAATAAACACTGACAAGGGAACAGGCACACCTATATACTACAGGATTAAGATAGTTTTTAAAGATTTCAATTTAATAGTTTTACAGTATTGAAAAACAATAATGTGGTTAAGATTTTGAACATATAAACATAAAAAATGTGGCGGGGTTAAAATGTTTTTGAGCGCATAAAAACTTCTGGGACAGTGGTGTAACAGCACAACATAAGAACAAACTTTAAAAATCAGTTGCAATTGGTTTACCTCAATAGATTGCCTGTGGTAACGTAAATAACATACACATATTTCAATAAACTGAATTATAATCAAGATACGATAAAAAATATTACCTTCACCAAGAAAATAACGAAGATTTGTATCTAATGAGTGACATTGAATCTACTGTTATGCATGTAATCTTCTAATTCTACATTTATTTTTATTATTCTATTTCCTTTTTCTTTTAATCGTGAGTTGTACCCCCTTTGTATAAGACTGGTCACCTACACACGTTATGATATAATCCATAAATGTCGTCAAGATGGTAAATTTTGAAGAAGAAAAAAATGCAGCAAAAGGGATTATATTTGTTTTTGCAATACACTTAAATTGACATCTCATGAAATGTCAGGTGTTAAATGAAATACAAAAAAACAACATAATATCAAACTACCAACTCAGAAGGGAAATGACTCTAACTGAACTTCCTTTGAAATTTCAGAACATAATTATATTATATCATGATATCGTTATCAACCAAAATGTATATAGTTCTCCTTCTTTAATTATCAAATATTGTTTTTTTCTCATCTATTTTCTTTATACTTAGTTAGATAAAAAGAAGGACAGAGTGAAAAACAAATATAATTCTCTACAATAGTCATAATTTAATCATGTAGCCGCAATCAAAATGAAACTAAGATACAAATGACAGATATTATCCCACAAATATAACAATTTGTAGGTAACAGTAGTTACCGATGTTCTAATCTCATTATTTCATTAAAAGATACAAATCAAAGTAAAATAGAACTAAAGTAATTGCATGAACTCCAAAAGGTACAATACTTCGTGCGAAAACTGTTTCGTTACAACAAGGATATTATCCATTACAACTCAGTTTTCAAAGCAATACAATACTTTCTTCACAGTACCTTGTGTTCCAATCACTATTTGAACTCCTTGTTTATCCTTTGTCTTATGCATAACCTTCTTTCTGTTGTATCTTTGTTTTTTAAAAAGGAGAATTAGATGTGCTGAAAATTTGAAATGATTTTTATCATGGTGAAATTAATTGTATACAGATGTTTTCTGTCATTTAAACTTTTTAACACTTTTACATATCATATTTAATTATTTGTTATACATGTATAAAAGTGGTCTTATTTTTCAACAGCTTGAGATTGAAATAATTAATTTCTTAAACTTCGTTTGAACAACTAACGTCTATATATTTTATATCTTCATAGAACCAACATATAATTATAATTATAAATAGGTAGCGATTAAGATATGATAAAAATTAACGGATATTGGGTGGATGGATCTCTCACAATGCGTGTTGAATAGACACACGATAAAAGAACTCAAATTTGTAATGGTTTGAAAGTGCATCACTTTAAATGAACTTTAAACAATTTAAATTTCAGATTTGTGTCCTTTTGTCTCTACAACCGGTTACAGTTTTGGGGACTGTAAAGTAACTAGGTCCTTTGTGTGTAACATCAGTATAATAGGTAACTATATCAATATTTTTTTGATTTATGGCCAGCATTATATTTCCTGATCTGTACATGCGTCCTTACGTTTATCCGTCCGTTATCAGGCTAAACTTTTAGTTCAGGTAGTTTACTATCATGTTGGGGTTATATCAACTAAAAACTAGCTTCATATGTTTATTATGATGTAAACTTTTTAAGTTGTATGTCATATGAAGGTTGTGACCCATATAGAGTGATTCACTCAACACACAAAGCTGAAATGTATGTCGTAATGACACATGTCTTCCTACATTGGTATCACATATATCAAGCAGATGCAATCCAACATCGTACGAATGCAATGTAATAGTTGGGTAGAAATCGATATCCGTGCAATGAAATTGCCTTTTAATTTCATATAATACTAATTGCCTTACACCAATATAGGATGCATTTTATTTTTTTTTATGGAGAATTGATTTGAAAGTATTGATTTACATTCCTTTCTATTCATATTTCTATTCATATTGTTTTGACAAGAAAGTCAAATAATTCGATCTTGTGTTGCGACTTATTTATACTTTTATATATAAAGAGTTTTAATTTTGTATCATTCTAGCTGCTCCGCTGTCAAATTCACCGACAAGTCCTGCAGGTATGTTTACATTTTATTAGAATACTATATTATACAATTTCTGTACCAGCGTATACGTAAACCATCACTTTTAGGTCACAGTGTATCAATTAACCAAAACTAAATGATCACATGACACTAAATAGACAGAAAATATCCCAAAAGTAACATGGGATTTGAAAAACTAAATGATTGATTATTGATGTTAGTTTTAATGCCACTTCAAACACTCCTGACTGCCTATATCATGGTGGTCAGTTTTTATTTGTGGAGGAACCCAGAGTGCCTGGGGAGAACCTCCAAACTTCGCGAACAAATGAACTGGCAATCCTTGACAATTAAGATCGGAGTTATAACGCACCCGCCACAACGGCGTTTTCACTCACAACCTCAATGTTGACAGACTAGTATTTACTAAAGAAAAAGATTGGACCATTCAACCACCGAGATCCCCGGAAAGACCATGATAACAGCAATTAATAAAGCATAAGTCAGAAAATAAATCATTCAATTATATTTCTTTCAGATATAAACATTCAGATAATTAGGCATTCTTGAACTCCCCGCATATTGCGATTGATGGTCAGATTTCCACATAGAGAGCATTAGGTTTTTGTTTCTTTTGTGTTTTTATGTTTTTTTACCCAAATTAAGTAGAATTTATACAGAACCTTCTTAAAGACAAAACGAAATCTGTCGCTCAATGATCCACGTTTCGATGAGTGCTTATGACTCATACATCTCAGTGAACTTGAAATAAAGGATAGCAGCAGTAACATACCCTTTGCTTCATCGTATGGCGTTTACATATTTCAGTTAAAACGTTACGATTATGGATGTTCAAACTAAATGAACTTCATTAACTGGGGTGTGCCTTACAGAAAAACTGCTCCAACAGATTTATTTAGGAAGAACGACTGAAATCGTCACTGCATAAGTTTTACGTTGACCATCACAAATTGGTTGACCGATATGATGTGTCGGTGTCTTAACTCACTGGCAACATGTGTTTGTGGTCTTAGATGAGGCATTTTTACTGAGTGTGAATTCGTATGGTGGGTGGTGTATGCATAGCAGGAGTTCATTCAATTCCCTCAGTTTCTGTTTCTTACCTAATTGATTAACGAGATTTGAACATCGGTGAACTATTGTCGCCTTAATTTAATTCTCCTAGATATTTTTACATTTATTATGAAAACAAAGATTTATGAAAACTAACCAAATGTATTGTAAGCACGACTGTACTTGTTGTAATTTTGTTTTTCTCAATGCTTTTCAATGTTGTTAGTGGTTTGACCTGTCGATTCGTAACCGATTATTTCTCTTGTGCTTAAAACATCTTACAAGATGAGATTCAAAAAAAAAATATGTATATATATACGAGTGTATTCAGTATACATGTATATACATGAATTATTTTAAATCTTGTCTCGTATCTGTGTGAAATATTCGTCTGGTGTACTTTTTTTCAAAAACCTAGTATATTTGATTTATTCATACCAAGCTATGGTACTTTTAATAGACTTTATAGGAATGCTTTAACCCAAACGTTTGGACGGATAAGAAGTAAACCTGAATATAGATCGAAATAATTGTCTTGTTTCATTTGAGAGAGAAGTTGAAGTGACAACTTTTTTTAAGGCAAAGGACAAATCTACATGTATATCAACAATTATTTAGCTTTAATATTTACCAAAAGAATATGGAGCCTACACCAGACAATTTGAATGAATTTTCAAATGTATTTCCGTCTTAAGTAAGTCAATAGGAGCGATTCTCAAATTCAATTCGATCTGGCATTTACATATAGACATATGAAATACAAGTCAAAATTCAAATCAAATAGAGATGCATATGAACGCGAAAGAAAATCATATGTCGATCAGCACACACCACAGTAATACCAAAACGAGGGGAAAAACAATTGTGTACAATATTTCATACCATACTCAAAACAAAACTGAAGAATAAGTTACATTAGCTAGTCTTAAACGACCCCCGTGTTCAATCAATATCTGTACAGGCGCTGACTTCTTTGACTGTGATACCCTCGTAAACGAAATGTACAGCATCAGTGGCTCCCATGTGATCCGAAAACCCTCGTAAACGAAATGTACAGCATCAGTGGCTCCCATGTGATCCGAAAGAGTAAACATTGCTCAATGACATTCGTCAATATCTGCACATGCGCTGACATCTAGACTGGAGAAACCCTCGTAAACGAAACGTCCACCATTAGTGACATCAGTAGTTGTAAACACTCATAAAAAATACCAGGCTTTTCATTGTGTTTGCTTGACGATCGTTTAGTCTACATACTACTTATCAGTAGCACTGGAATCAAAACAGTCTGAAGGTCAAATCAAATACGAAGTTGAAGAGCAATTATGACCGCATATTACAAGAAGATTTGTTAATGTCAATTATGTCCGGGGTGGAAAAACCTCAATATTTTTGAGTTACTAGATATTGGGACGAAGGAATAAAAATATAAAAAAATATATACTTAAATAATTGAAAAGGAAACGTATAATATCATAGTTTATCTATGAATTAATTAGTTTTAACCTTCAAAATTTTATCAGATGATGATTTTTTTAATTTTCAGTTGTTGCTGTGTCTATTTTGCTGGTGATAATTGCTATATTAGTCGTCCTGTTTCTTGTTCTTTGGTTAAGAAGGAAAAAGAGGTATGTTCTTATATTTACTACAGAAATCTTCAGATTGTGGTATCTTGGTTATAATGAGGATGTTGTGATACTATGTTGAGGTTATACAGTAAATTTGGCCTGATACACATACTGTTGTCAATTTACATGGCATCAAACAAAGAATTTTTCAAAACAATGAGATTACATAATTAACCTGTAATATTACAATTGGCGTACTGAATGAGACCATCTTAAATCTTCATTTTTGTGTAGGTAGTTGAGCGTTGCTAGGTAGGGGAGCAGGGTTGTCAAGTTACATTTGTACTACTACTTGCTTCAATTTTGTAATTATATCATTAGAGAAACTGTCATGTTTCAAAACGAGGTTTGCTATCAACACCTACAATCAATAGAAAATGCTCACGAAATAAAGGTTTTACAGCATTTTTCATACACACATAAATTTGTTTATTGCATGATATCTTTGTTTCTAAAAAAAAGCTTAATATGGAATGCTTAAGAAGATAGAACTATAACCAGGGACATAAAAGCACAAGTCGTAGAAAGACATATCCAAAAAATACCCAAAATAAAATTGATGAAAAAACAAACAACAGTCACATGAGCAACACTACGGGTGCCACATATCGAGCAGGATTTGGCTACCCTTTCGGAGCACATGAGGTCACCTACTGTTTTTTAGTGGGTTTCATGTTGCTCGGTCTTTTTTTCTATGTTATCTTTTGTACCCTGTTGTTTGTCTTTTGATAGTTTTTCTTTTTACGCCATGTCATTATCTGTTTGTTTTCGACAAATGAGTGAATATCCCTTTGGTATCCGTTGGCTCTCTCTATCACAAAATAATGCACTGAAAATTTAGCAGCACGAACCATTAAAAGTAAAAAAAGTTATGAGGAAACCAATAAGTATTTACCTAATAATGTATAAATTTAAAAGATCCCTTACGCTGTAGAAACAATAAAAGATCCCTACGCTGTAGAAACAATTCATTGTTTGTTTTAAATTCCATAAATTCCAACGTTTAACTATTTTTCAGTTCAAAATTATATACGTAGAGTCACACAAACACATCTGGACAGTGTAAAGCGGATTTTCATATAAAAAATCATTACATTTGTACCTTAGATCATTTGATTAAGAAAAAAGGTTTTACCCGCAAATTGATTTGTAGTAAATCATGTATAATATAAAACAAAAGCATGTATCAATGTTAAGTCGTAATCAAGTTAAGTTTTCGTCAAATTTTAATTTACATGAAATGTGGTATTACCGTTGTAATATAAAACTTTTTTTTTTTGGCTTTAGCCTTCAAAAAATAAACTGATATTTTATCTTGTGATCACACTTGTTTCTATATTCTTGATTTATAAGATAAACTAATCAAATAATGCAATTATCGAAAAATATTTAACGAGTAACCGAATAACACATTAATTCACGGATGCTCGTATCACCGGTGTTGGACCAAATGTTGACAATTTTCGATATTTTAATTCCTGAGTTAGTTATTCTTATTTTTACACTGTCTGTGAATGAAATAGAAGTTGTAAGGACAGATATGTTTTTCAACGCGTTCTCACGTTCATAGAACGTCCTTGAGAACGTCTTGTTTTGTTGTATGTTAGCAGAGAAGTGAAATTACAGGATACCTTCACATGTGAAATAATTTAGTTTTTATTTGACTGGGAAATCAAGGTATTTGATTGCAACCATTAAAAAATTACATCATATCTTGAAATCTACTTTAACATCTTTGTTATTTACTACTTTCAATAATGTTTTTTAAAAAAATAAGTAAATAAAGAAATGAATACATAAATAAAACACGATCAAAAGAGGTTGTTATATCGCAATTATTATCATCAATACTTATTATTTATAGGAATGTATCCATACAAATGTACCACAACAAACAACTTATGTCCAATTTAGTCTTAACGTACATGAAAATGATCACGATAATTTGAAGCGTGTAGGCAAAGGCTAATACATGAAATAAAAAAGACTCATAAAGGCCACTAGGTGTAGGGCTCATTTGACATATGATACATAAAAAAAGTAATTTTAGTTCATTATACAGGTCAAAAGGGGAAAATGTATCATTTATCATATATGATTAAGGAATTATATGGATTGTAGTGATACGAACATCACTGTTAAGTAGTTTATTCATCAACATGACGCTTTATCCGGGAGCTTCCATTTTCATGATGAATTTTCACAGGTAAAACATGCGTATTATGATTATCTGTAGCACGAGGAGTGCTTCACAATAATGTTATTAATTACAATATTGCGTTACAATATAAACATTTTTACTGATGTCACCATAATTGAAATATTTGTAAACATAATCAAGGTTATCATTAATTACCATATACGAGAATAAAGATAATTTTCTATCACGCAGTAATGTGAAAATTTAACACTACTTTTTTCCCACCCTCCTGAAACAATAAAAAATGACAGCATATCCGTAAGGGATTCGCTAGTCCGTTTTGTCATATATAAACAAATCTGTTATGACAGAGATTCATGCATGTATCACATTTTAAACGGAAGCAAAGCCTGAATAATCCACGAAATTAGCCGTTCACTAGACGATGTTCTTGTGGTTCCTATGAATCGTCTATTTTTTAACTGGAAAAATACTCGCATTATCATGTTATCTTGGAGTTTTGTATTGCTAAAGTCATTTTTGTCATAAACATCCTGGCAACTAGTTGATCACTTTTTAGCTAACGTTGATTGAGATGCAGTTTAGGTCATGTTGTAAAACCTTATCATTTATTGTCTTTTTTACATTTTTATATGTGTTTGATAAAAACAATGATAAAAAGTATCATAGGAATACGTGCATATAAGAACCACCTAGGCTGTATTTGGCAAAACCTTTCGAAATTTTTGGACCTCTATGCTCTTCAATTTCGTACTTTATTTGGTCCCGTAACTTTTTAATTCGAGGGTCTTTTGTAAATCAAATTCGCGTCTGGCGTACAAATCTATAAGCCTGGTAATTTTGCTCTTCCTCCGACATTTGTTAAATTTGGAATTTTACTCGTCCAAAAGTTGTAAGATTTATTTCCCGTTCAAGCAAGTGAAGGTTATTTCCTCGTCTCATTTTTACCTTAAATTGATTCAAAACTTTAAACCATTCACACTCAGACATTTTACTATAAGAAGTCAACACCTTAAAAACCATAATTTTTCCCTGTACCGCAGAATGTAACCCAGCGAAAAACCTGTGTATGTAAACTCTGGTGCTACATAAGGGTCAGCAGTTCATGCTCCACTCGTGACACATATCGTGTTCTTCCTTTTAACATTCGTTGATGATACAAATCTGATGACTAGGTATCATAAAATAGCAGTTGGTCTATGACTATCGCATAAAAGAGAGGCGAAAGATACCAACGGGACATTCAAACTCATAAGTAGAAAATAAACTGACAACGCCATGGCTAGAAAAAGGTAAAGACAAACATACAAACAACAGTACACAAAACACAACATAGAAAACTAAAGACTGAGCAACACGAACCCCATCAAAAACTGTGGGTGATCTCAGGTTCTCCGGAAGGTTAAGCAGATCCTGCTCCACATATGACACCCGTAGTGTTGCTCATGTTAGTACAAACCCGGTAATAAGTCTAATTCGGTAGGTCACATTCGGGGAAAAGGGGACAGGATTGTAGTTACGACAATTGGAACTTATCCGTTGTCATCTCTGAAACGGATATTCCATAACGGTCATAACTTTTCAACTGTAACGAAAAAGAAAATAAAAATACGGAACAGACCCATTGTGTTTTGTTGTTTTTTTTTTTGTTTTTTTTTTGGGGGGGGGGGGGTTATGAAACTGCATTTGCATTAAGAAATTTGTGATGTAGACCATATATTTTCAAAACCAGCTGTTACAATACTCGTTGAAGTAATTATCTGATATAATACAACTCGATTGCGTATAATACAGATAGTAAACACGATATACGTGGCTTCCTGTTCGGTTTTTTTCAATATGTAATATTATAATGTTTCCGTGAATAGATGCCTGGATCTAATTATATTCCGTATTGCCATGTTCTGGAAGCAGCTCATGGCTTTAAGGTTCTTTATTCAAAAGTAATAAGAACATATGTGTGATTTCAATCCCGATAACGTGATCACGTAGCTATTACTCATTCTTGACTTTTGATTTGTGTTTGTTATTATTTGTAAGATTAGGCATATTAAGTATATCGTTCGTCAATTTTCTTTATTTTTTCAAGAAAAGACGACAAAGAAATTGAAGTATCTTGTCCCACAATAGAAAAGACTAACGGTGCTTTACCTCACGATTATTCAAAAGAAAATGGTTCAAAGACAGATTCAACTGAAAATACATACAACCATACTACTTCCTCAAAACCTGTTACAAATAATAGCAGCAATCAGAACTTGTATGATCATTGTACCAATGTACCAGAAGACACATACGATCATACGGAAACAACAAACAATGGCTCAGGGAAACAGGCAGCTGACTATGGTTGTGTTGACTTAGATGATGATCAATACAAATCAATTGATAGAACTACTGGATCCCAAAATGGTACAACAAAGTCAAACTATAATGATGTGTAAATATATTTGCCACGTGAATTTTTGGATTTTGTTATTATTGTGTAGTGTTATTATGCGGTTCGTGAATACTCATATTGAAACGTTCTAACATTAAAATTATGATGTATCTATATTGCTGTGCATTTTAGCTTTTGACTGCTGTCAGTTAAACATTGTTATTATCTGCATAATTAAAAAGATTGACAGCAAAACACACACATTGCTTGATCATATTTTACAAAGTGCTATTTACATTGTATATATGTTTGTTCTTTATAATAGATACGAAGTTCTACATTGAAAAATGCATGTGTATATTCTGTTCTCAAATTTTTAGTATAGTGAAAATGAACAGGCATCGTTGTTGCTTTGTAAAGTGTTGGCATATTTTCAATTAAAAAAAAAGTTTGATACTACACAACGTTTTTAATTGCCTCGACATTTTTTTTAATGTTATCCAAAATGTTTCCTACGTTATTTCGGTGTATGTACATATACTAAGTAAACAAATTACAACTAAAAGCGTGTTAACTTTGTACAAATGAATACAATCATATGTATTTCAGTATATTTATTTGAGTTCTACTTTTGATACTCATTGTGTCATATTCTAAGTTGTATTTTTACCCTCAGGAAACAGTTCGCGTCTCCACTGTCTATATATATATTTACCTCAATAATGTTGTGTGTCTTTTTCGTCATTTTGGGTCTATTGCCAGAACTGTGAAGTCCAAGGCTTTTTTTTCACTATTGTACACGTTTTTGGTCAAACATGATGATCGAGTTATATATTGCAGGATATATTTACTTGGTTTTTTTTTAATTCTTTGGATTCCTACTGTTGTCATGTGGGTTTTTCTTAACCTGAAGTTTTTTATGCCAATATATTTTTGAAACGTAGTTTTATGGAGAAGTTCTTGGCACAAAATCCGTCCATCTAATGTAATCTGAAGAAGTTATTGCAGTAATGCGAACTGTGTTTTCGGTGTTGAGTTCTAGTGGAATGGGATTTTAACCGGAGTTTAATAAACAATCTATCAATATTCTTAACGAAACGGGTCGAATATGCCCTTTCTGTTACACTGGTACATCATATGATGTAAGTACATGTTCGGAAAATAAGAAAACATATCATTCAATGATATATAGATTAACGAACAAAAGTATGGTTCACTTTTTAAAAATAGTTACCTAACGTCCCACTCATAATAAACAAAGGATAACAAAATGATGTCAATATACCACATGTTTACATGTACATCTTTGTGTTTGTAGGGTATAAAAGAATACAAAATTTGCAGGAAACCTTGACAAGTGCAATTTACAAACAAAATATAGCATTGTACGGTATGAGTCAAAACACTACAACATTCCGAGCTTTACTAGTATCCTCTTGTCTGCTGGTTGTAGAATATGAAAATATCGCTTTTTTTCTGTCTATTCATCAGGAATGCTCAAACCAAAAAGATAAAAAAAAAAAAGAAAATATTTAAATACTTGATGAGCTTTATGACCGAAAGGGTCAAGAACAAGAACGATCAAAGCCAAAAAATTGAAAGCCAAGGATGTTTATACTTGATAAGCTATATGACCAAAAGAAGTAATCATTTGAGTATCCCTTATGTTAGTTGATAGTTTATTCAACACATATTTTATTTCTTCTCGTTATCTGGAGTCGCTTTGGAAGAATAGTTTGTCTCCTATATGACTCCAGTCTCCAGAAGTTCAATTATAAATGCAATTAATACACAAATTGCTAAGAAATTAATGTCGTACGAAAATTTATTAAAGAGAAAGAGAAAACGAAGAATATTTTGAAAAAAAAATCCATGCCGATGTTGCATTTGTTGACAAATGAATTTCAAAAGCTTTTATAATCTTTCACAAAATGTCAAATTTTGGAATTTCAGCAAATAACAATAATTACTTATGAATATATATTTTGTCATGGCTTAACGTGCTTTTCGGCTTTCTTTTAAATGTTTAAGTCTTAATATATAGTTTCACTACTTCATTCCACTGTTACATAATAAATTATTATACTTCCCTTTAGGAACTTGTTTACAGACACTAATGTTTTGTGGTATTGTTTTTCACGCGTCAACAATAAGTGTAAGAGTGGTCTCATGATAAGCATAATTTCAAGTTTGTACATTATGCCAACTCTATTGAGATTTGTTTATTTTATTATACCATTTAAAAGTGCATACCATTACTACAATCAGCAAATCCTTTGTATTCAAGAATAAGTAAATGGAAATATATGTCGGATGCTCTTGATGGAAAAGCAAAATCAAGATCGGTTTTTACATGTAGAAATGTACATAAGAAGTTTCTGGTTGCTTAGTCTTTTGTATATTCCTGTAACACAAACGTTTTATCACTAATTAGTGTTAACTCGGATTTAAACCTTAAAACTATTAGTTGAAAGGTTTTCATGCTTCGTTATCCTAAATACTTCCTTATTTCTTAAAAATATTTAACAAAACAACAAACAAACTGAAGACTTTTTTAAACACATTAGCTATTTTACTTTTTCGATAATCCATCGGCAAACTGACGATAAGACGTGATGCACATAAAAGGACCGTTTTCCCGTGCACAAACTTGTAGAACACCGTATCTGTGTCGTCTAATTGATATGCAGCATCCATCAATGCAATCGGAGCTGTCCTCACAGGCCTCTCCTAAATAAAATAAGTTAACTCATTTCTTTCAAACATTTCCTTTAACAATTAAATACTGTATTTGTTTGTTTGCATAACAAATGTATGAAAACTGAAATGTTAATTATAGTTTTCAAGCAATTATATACTCGTAGTAACAAGCACTATATGATAATTATATGATGTGAATTAAAATGAAGGTGCATGTTATATTGCAATGTATCCAAACCATATTGGAGACTATGGTTAAAGCTGAGATCATTTTAGTTAGGTATATCATAAATATTGGCAAATACTGCACTGCAACAGTAATGTAGTAAGCAATGCTAGTTGTCTAGTAGAATATCAACATGATATTGCTGGTTTTTGCTGGTGTGCTTTGTCTATGTGTCTTTTTTGTTTGTCTTTGTTGACATGTTTGCTTGTTTTTGTAGTGATTCATTTGACGTGGCTCGGTACTTGTACATCCTGTCATTGTGTTGTTGTGCTATGGTAAATTTTTGTATTCTTGTCTTTCGTTTTTGCTAATATGCTTTGTCTATATGTCTTTTTGTTTGTCTTTGTTGACATATTTGCTTGTTTTTGTAGTGATTAAGATTATATCACAATGTTGACTGCTGTACCCCTATTTTTGACATATTTACCTATTATATAAAAAAAAGAAAATGTGGTATGATCGCCAATGAGACAACTCTCCACAAGAGACCACATGACACAGAAATTAACAGCTTAAGGTCACCGTTCGGCCTTCAACAATGAGCAAAGCCCATACCGCATAGTCAGCTATAAAAGGCCCCGAAATCACAAATGTAAAACTATTCAATTCAGAAAACTAACGGCCTAATTAATGTACAAAAAATGAACGAAAAACAAATATGTAACACAGCAACAAACGACAACCACTGAATTACAGGCTCCTGAATTGGGACAGGCACATACATACAGAACGTGGCGGGGTTAAACATGTTAGCGGGATCCCAACCCTCCCCCTAACCTGGGACAGTGGTTTAACAGTACAACATAAGAACAAACTATAAAAATCAGTTGAAAAAGGCTTAACTCATCAGATGGATACAAATAGAAATACATATAACAATAACACGTCGACGTGACCGGGTACTTGTACATCCCAACAACAAAAAGACACTAAGTACAAATCTGAGAGTACTCGCATTATGTCTGTTTGTTTTGTTCACACATCGTTGTCAATATATTGGAATTGTATGCGACTGTCATACAAGTGAGAGGTTTAGCTAGCTAGGTTTAATCCACCATTTTCTACATAGGAAAATGCCTGTACCAAGTCAGGAATATGACAGTTTTTATCCATTCGTTTGATGTGTTTGAGCTTTTGATTTTGCCATTTGCTTATGGACTTTCCGTTTAGAATTTTCCTCGGAGTTCGGTATTTTTGTTATTTTACATTTGCATTCACATCATCATATTGAGGAATACACATTGGTTTGTCCTCCTTCGTATTCCTTGTGAATTGTCCATTTTCAACAGATGTATTTAATTGTAAATGTTATTTTACTATACATTCTTAAAAGGAGAAAACAAATGTTCTCTGTTGATTAACAAATTGGGATCTTTAATTTTTTGTAACTAGCTGAATGACATTTTTTTACTTCTGTATACCAATGTTTTGACTAAGGTTTATCATATTAAAGATAGATAATGACATAAAAATCAAATGAAAATAACACTTTATAAGTTTTATACGTCCGAAGGGCTTTTCTGTATTTACCTTTATCAGGAGCACTTAAGACCAAAAAACTTAAAGCTAAGGATGTATAAATTTCTCCAATCGTGAGGAGCTTTATGACCAAATTGGGTCTAAAACATAGCCACGTTTTCTCACGGTCAACTTTACCTGTGTGAGTTGATGTCAACTTTATTCGAAATTTCTAAATTTATCAAAAGAGAATTTAAACAAAGTATGTTATAAATCATGTCAGTACCGACGCAACCACTTTTGAGATGATAATGCCCTCTGGGAATAATAGACCATAAGCAGTGGTGTCAAAATTGATTAATTAGTATGATAGTATATTATATATATATGATATTAATAGATATGAAAAATAAAGACTAACCTTCAAATTTAGATGGCTGGACATCTCCTCGAATATATTCAAGATCTCGACAAAGTCCAATTTTCCTTCCTGAAATTTATACTTATTAAGTGTGTTTTTGATACGTACTGACATATTTATTTGTATTCTCTAGTAACCTTGTGGACTTCAGAATTAAATTGCAATTTGATGACGAGAAAAGGATTTTCTAAATAGGATCCGAGTCTTACTCTGGTTAGCTTTACTAATAACTATCTGTTATGGGAGATGTGATGTAAACATCAACGAAACAACGATCCAAATGACAGATTGAACAGAATAGACTTCTTCATGTTCCCCATACGGTCTTTAGTAGTGTCAAATTACCTTCATCGAATGATCCTCCCAGGGTCAGAATTAAGTAATGAATTCATTAGAATCACTTAATAGCTTACACCAACGCCTTTATATGACAAAAACGTGAAGAGACGGTGACATTCTCTGATGAGACTTATTTTGGGAATACTCATCATATCATTTCGACCATAAAAATAACATAAGATACACCAAACACCTCGCGATACAAAAAAAAATAGAAAAGGCGCTTTATTCTATATTGGTGTATTCATTGTATTTTTCTAACTGGCACAGAGTTATAGAACCACAAGCAGATTAATAGTGAAACATTTATGTTCAACTGCTTTATGTTGTAATGTCGAGTATCAAAACGGTAAAGGCAATTAACTGTCCAGTAATGTAAAACCTCACCAAAGATACCATGCTTATAATTTGGCACGCCAGACGCACGTTTCGTCTGCATAAAACTTATTAGTGGCGCTCAAATTAAAACAGTTGGAAGGCCAAATCAAATATGAAGTTGAAAAGCTTTAAAAAATCGAAAAGTACTTAAAGCTAATGCAATATATGCCTGTTGGTAGAAAAACCACAGTGTTTCGAATAATTCAAAATTTCATGAACAGCTTATTTACGGAAACACAGCTTATTCAATACTTCAAACAATAATTTCTACCCTTTTAACACTAAAGTTATTAAAGAAATTGTCAGAGATTGCCTATTTAAAATTCAAATGGCTTTTTTCAGGTTTCTCCAATTTGCTTATCTTAAGATGCACAAAAAATAGTTGTACGTCAATCTACAAATAACTCGAAAATTTACTTTAAATATTAAAAGTTAACAGTAGTTTCCCGATGTCTAAATCTCACGATAAAAAAGAAATAGCAAATGTGGTATGATTGCCAATGAGACAACTCTCCATCAGAGACCAAATGACGAGGAAAATAGCAACGGCTTTCTACCAGGACCAAACCAAATACCGCATAACAAGCTATAACAGGTTCCAAAATGACACGTGTAAACAATTAAAACCTGAAAACTAACAAATTGTTTTGTCTGCAAAACAATAAAAGAAAATTCAAATATGATACACAGCAACAAATGACAACAACTGGATTACAGGCTCCTGACTTGGGACAGGCACATACAGAATATGGTGGTGTTAAACATGTTTGGGTACGCCAAACCCTCTCCTTAACCTGGGACAGTGTTGTAACAGCCAAAGGGGACGAGACAGAGTGCGTCGACAAGAAAAGCGTCTCGTGTAATATCCGGCTTCCTCCACCAATAAAAACTGACCGCATCGAGATAGCACAATAGTGCTGAGATTGGTGTTTAACACCAATCAATCAATCAATCAATCGTACAACAACACAATTACTTGATAAGCAATAGAAGAATAATTTTCTAATATCGATTTCAGAAGAAATGCTTGTAAGTCATTAAACAGGTGAATTTTAGTTTCTTATGGGAAGAAACTGTTCAGTTTTGATGTTGTATTTTATCATATCATTTCCAATAATTTATGAATTTATAAATTTTATGCGACTGTCATACAAGTGAGCTAGCTATAAAACCATGTTTAATCCAACATTTTCTACATAAGAAAATGCCTGTACCAAGTCAGGAATATGACAATTGTTTTCCATTCGTTTGATGTGTTTGGGCTTTTGATTTTGCCATTCGATAAGGGACTGTCCGTTTAGAATTTTTTGTATTTTCTGTATTTTTTTCCCCTTTAAATCAACAAAATATTTATGTCAAAAAATAGTTCCAGATTAGATTTAATGAAGATTATAAGGACTCAGTAAAAACATTACTATTGTCAACCATTCGTTTCAGTTTCATTTCGATTCACTAAATCAATATTTCTCTTATACATACCAGCATACAATGAAAGTTTTGAATCCATAACACAAACATCATTTCTGCTACAACACTGGTTTGTATAGAAACACTCTTCATTAGCTTTTATACACTAAAATATAAAAAAAAATATCATTTTTTACATGTATATTAAATCGTAGAGTATTTAGCATTTTGGACAATTCATGTATGCGTGTTGTATCAGACGATAATCTTAAGCTAGTTTGCAGAAGTATTCTTTTGCATTTGCCAAAAGCGGTATAGAATAAGTCATTTGGTATGATTGTAAATGAGACAAAATTTTTAAATGATAAAGTTGACCTTAGACGGATCTGGCTATTGTCTTAATGTCCTTTTTGGTCATAAAGCTAAAAACATCCTTGGCTTTAAAATATTCAGCTTTGAGCTTTCCTGGAAAAGGTTAATCAAGAAAAGTGTTTTGAACGCATGAAAGTTATAAAGTGTTTTTTTTTCTCCATATGTCGAGGATGAATAGGCATTTATAGGTCAGCGTATTACCGTAATCAATTAACAAGACCCAAACCGTATAATGAGCTATAAAAAAGACCCGGACATGAGAAAATGTAAAACAATACAAAAAAGAAAACTAACGGTCTGATATATCATATCATAGGGAACATGTGTACTAAGTTTCAAGTTGATTGGACTTCAACTTCGTCAAAAACTACCTTGACAAAAAACTTTAACCTGAAGCGGGACAGACGGACGGACAAACGAACGGACGTACAGACCAGAAAACATAATGTCCCTACTACTATCGTAGGTGGGGCATAAAAAATAGTAAACGAAAATCAAGTATGACGGATAGCAACAAACAACAGTTTTCTTTACCTGGAACAGGCACATACAGAATGTGGTAGGGTTGAATTGTTTTAAAAAAAACCGCTATGTTTATGATTTTTAAGGAATTAGGTCATACTTTTGGTTAACTCTAGGAATGATACTTTCGTACACATATTTGTCGTTATGATTTTTGAAACCGACCATTGTTTCATGAATAAGGGCCCTTTAATATTTTGTACTTTAGCTTATAGTAGCAATTCGCCTTTAATCGTTTAATTAGAATAAAAACAAATTAATGACTTTTTAGGGTGCATGGACTTATGACTATTCCCAACTTTGTTTCCTTAAATGGATTAAAACAAATAGCCTTATATAGATCTAAATAATGATTATTAGAGGTTAGCTGCAGCATCAAAGTACAATCCGATGGTATTTAAAAGGCTTCAGCAACTATAAAAACCGGAAATGATATACGATCACCGGATGTGTAAGCTTGTCCTTCATATGATTGAATAACTCTGCAGTGTGAATTTATCTTTGTGATGTCATATCTTCAATTGTGTTTCCTCGTTTTCAAGAAATATCAAATTTGTTTATGGTTTCTTTTGATGAGAGTCATTAAGGTTTCCTGATTTTTTTTATTTATAATCTTTGACAGGTCAACGATCTGGCCTAATAAAATCAGCGTAAATCAATGTTTTGAAAGCATATATAGGGACTGTAATATGTTCATAATAAAATTGAGAATGGAAATGGGGAATGTGTCAAAGAGACAACAACCCGACCACAGAACAGACAACAGCAGAAGGCCACCAACAGGTCTTCAATGCAGCGAGAAATTCCCGCACCCGGAGGCGTCCTTCAGCTGGACCCTAAACAAATATATATACTAGTTCAGTGATAATGAACGCCATACTAAACTCCAAATTGTACACAAGAAACTAAAATTAAAAATAATACAAGACTAACAAAGGCTAGAGGCTCCTGACTTGGGACAGGCTCAAAAATGCGGCGGGGTTAAACATGTTTATGAGATCTCAACCCTCCCCCTATACCTCTAGCCAATGTAGAAAAGTAAACGCATAACAATACGCACATTAAAATTCAGTTCAAGAGAAGTCCGAGTCTGATGTCAGAAGATGTAACCAAAGAAAATAAACAAAATGACAATAATACATAAATAACAACAGACTACTAGCAGTTAACTGACATGCCAGCTCCAGACTTCAATTAAACTGATTGAAAGATTATGTCTTCATCATATTAATATCAGGCACAATCCTTCCCGTTAGGGGTTTAGTATCATACCATCATAACATATATGAGAAGAACATAACCGTCTTTCATATGAAAAACTTCCGAAACGGAATTACATGATGTCATCGGAGTATTAAAATTGTCACTTTGTCACTATTTTAGTGGGTGGGCTTTATAAGTTTTAAGAGATATTTCATCATTTCATACCATGACACTACAATTTAGTTTAAGGTTCTTTTCTGTAAAAATCACTTACACACATATATTCGATCCAAGAATTCCCTTTTAAATAAATATCTGCTGTTATAACTCTTCGTCCAACGTATTCACTTGCAATCTCAAAAGATGTCAATATTTACCCTACTAAATTTGTAAAATTATTGTTTGTGTCTCGTATAAATGTCTTTATCAACACCCCTCCAAACGCCCTCTTGGGAGTAGTAATAGAAAAACAATCATTTTGGATCTCATTTCTATTGTTTTTAAGTAGAAATCCATCAAAATTTATCGACGTTCTCATTATATTTCATCGGGGTGTATAAATCAAACAGTTGGAAAAGTTGATAACATGTTTATCGAACGTGTGCACCCATTATAATTAAATCGGTTGATGGGATTTACCATAAAATCCAAATGCTATTTTGTTCACCAGTAGAGCAAATATATTAGACAAATCTTTTTATTTCTTCTTTAGTTGCTATAGATATGTGGTGTAAAGTTTATGAGCATAATATCCAAATTTGTAAATGTTTCATTGAGAACGAATTTGCGGTTTTACTTATAAGCAAATTTGCAGTCTTCACCTACGAAACAAGAAACATATAGTTCTATGACCACAAATGTGCTATAATTGTTTGCTTAACAAAATGGTGTCCGAGTTTGAATTTATAAAAAAGTATGTATATGATATGATACTTTAATGACCTGGTTGCGATAAAGTTTGGCGAAGTTCTGACATGATTGCATTTACTTTACGAAAAAATTATATAATCTTGAAAGGACATTGGTACTTTGAAATATATTCTATTTAAGGGCGCAAAGTTGTACTTGTCTGATTCTATTTTTCAAAATAGAGGCTTTCATGCCAACGTCATTCGACACTGGTGGACAGTTGTCTCATTGCCTATCATTCATATGTACTACATCGCCTTATTTTTATTTTTAAAAGACCGAACTAGTTATGACTGAATAAAAACAGTTAAGCTAAGCAAAAAGTATATAAAATCGTGAATTGTTATAGACTGATCTCAAAAGACTAAGTCGTAGATATACACTGATACTAAAACGTTACATCACAATGGTTTTGAGTGAAAAGCTTTGTGTGTTCTCTAGAGAGGCATTGCAGACATATTAATTACGTGTTATGATGCTATTACAAGTAGTCAAAAGCTTATACTTTATAATTATCTCGTCAATTTTACACCTCTTGCGTATAATATATGATATGATTTATATGAAGAACACGCTGTTCTCAAACTATCTGACTAATCCTTACTCCGCTATATGAGAGCACTCAGGGATAAATTTAATAATCTGTGCAATGTAATACGGCATTTAATATGTTTTAAGATCTTTATTAAAACGGATTTATAGAATTTATGATTTTATCAAAAAAAGAAAAACAGAGACACTGTTTGTCTTTAAATGTATAATAATGGTGAATAAACCCAATAACAGTTGCAAAGTTCATTAAAATTTTCAATGCATCACGATGGACGTCTGTATTGTGTGACAAAGACGAAACTCTTAACATTTGTTCTCGCTGTTTGTGTTGAAAATGAGGCTTAAGATATACCAAAGGCGAGACAATACAAAAATCAAGTCGAATAATAACAGTCAAAAACGTCGTCAAAACGGAAAACGACGAAAAGACAAGCAACAGTATTCAAATAACTACACAGATAATTGAAGACTGGTCAACACGAAGACCACCACAATAAGAGGGGGGGGGGGGGACTCAGATACTATTGAATTTTAAGCAGATTCTGTTTCAGTAGTGGCACCCGTCGAGTTAGTTATGCAATTAAAAATCGGTGATAATTTGAATTCGGTTATATCATGGACGGGGTTTTGTGATATGAATATAATAAATAAATGTGTTTCACGTTGATCTAATAACCATTACGATAGTAGTATATTTTTCAAACCTGAATTTAGATTTTTTTTAAAAACTTAGTTACATCAAACTTCAAAATCATGTGGAGAATACAACAAAACGAAACAAAAACAATTAAATGTAGAGGTCAACTGACAGTCATCAACAATTCGCATGTGTCTTCACAATATGTAAATCACACAGAGTCTAAACAATTTGCAAGAAATTAAGAATAGACTACCAAAGATTTGCCTTTAGTACCAAGTCCACTCAACGACAAAAACATTAAGCATACAACATAAAACATAAAATATTACAAAAGACAACCTATAATGAGGTTGCTGACCGTTTTATGTCATGCTTTTAAATTATATTTTTAAATGTCACAAACTGCCACAGTTTAATTTACAATAAAAGTTAGAATTAAATTGAATTGAATACAAAAGATGAAAGGTAAAGAGTTTCGTTGTTTCATTGCCAGAAGCATTAATATCAGGCTGTAATTACTCTTCTGACTATGTTTTGACTTGATAGTCTTTAGAAGATAACAATACTCGATCGCTTAATTAGACAATAACTCACCAATCAGTCTGTGTCAGGGGGATAAATAATAAAGAAAGTGATGGTAAACCAACAATTAATTGTTTCCATTAGCCTTCCTTAATAGAACGATAACAGCAAACAATGTTCAGGAAATTATTTCTCTTGAAAATGTGCTAATGCATATATTGAATTGTGATTTGCAACGTGATAAGTTCACTTAACAGTAGTGTTTACAGACATTGATATTATTGCAATAATCTGAAATTTACAATGTGATAATAGACATCGTCAACAACTGTTCATTTCAAAAAAAATAGATTAAACCAACTTGGAACATATAATATGATTGTCTATATGTTTCTGACTTTTGTAATTGCAAGGAAGAATCAGAAGGTCAAGATGAATTGGAGAAA